CAGGTTCGTACGCGAGCTTGGCGTACGAGTCTGGAACGACAGAAGTTGGAGGGTTATTCATGGCTGCTTGGTACAAACCTTCCTCGTAGCTACCGAAGATCATGTAGTTGCGACCGTCCTCAACAAAGAGATCGGGGTCAATAGCATTGAACTCACTGGAGTCATTACTCTGAATACCAGTGCTTCCCAGGTCCTTCCACGACCCAATGTCCATCGTCGTGGAGGTAGCAACTCCAATTGCCGCTAGATTGTGTCCGTCGAAGGCCACATCTCGAACAGCCGAATAGTACAAGTAGTACGTATCACCCACGAGGTGAACATCAGGAGCCCAAGCATCCATCTTGCCGTCCCAAAGCTTAATGTTCGTTCCGTCGGGTAGCACAGCGCCCTTGTACTCCCATGGACCGGTGAGGTCTGGGGCAGAGTGCACAGCGATCCCACCGCCAGTCGAGAAACGGAAGTATGTGCCGTCAGCACGACGGATGATACTGGGGTCGTGAGTGTTCACACAGACGCCGGAACACGCGCCGGGGTTCACGTATGCGCCAGTGACTGCACTAAGAAAGGAAAGCCCCAACGTTGCTGCAGGGAAGGGCTTGACCATGCTTCTTGAGGGGGTGCGTCTGCTATCTGTGGAATAGAAAAGTGAATTGTGTAGGGCGAACAGCAATACCTAGCAGGATGGTGAAGCTTTGCCGTCCGACGTAGCAAAGGTAAAGGCGCTTCTACGGGTCATCAACATGTCGTGGGAAACTGAATAAGTCAGCGCAATATTGTGCATGGCTCATCATTTCATTCACCGTAGCAGCGATTTTGGTGCGACTAGAAATCCATCAGCTGCATTCCCGCACCTCAACGACTTTACTTAGCTAGTTGTGTTACTAAGGGAAAACAGCAGTCGGGCACGACCCATACAACTTCTTCCTAATTAACACCTCGTAATGTATTTTATGCTTGTTTTATCTTAACTTAAAAAAAGTATCGAACAACGTGACCGTTCACCAGTGCTAGTCGCAGAGTGCATTAGGAGGTTACGAAGCGTACAGTCATAATGCATGCTGACAACCACCTTCTTCTATCTTCCAAAAAAGCAGCAGACCACAAAACAGAATTGTACAGTGCATTTCTTTCTTCAGTAGATTACTCCAATGTTTACTTGCAAACTGTAAGTTGCGACCACGTATTAGTCACGTATTAGTACTTGCGTGACAACTAACTTGCCGCTGTTGTACAGGATGCCTACCCAAATACGTCGTGAATCAAGCACGACTCGTAAATGCTTCTTACGGACACATGACTTTGCGAAAGCTGGGTTGAAAGTAAAACTAGAATACTACGAAGTAAATTGTTTTGAGGTTAGAGAAAACTTCTCCGCCGCTGCTTCGTAGTCGCAGCAATTAAATAACCCTGTCAGCTTTCTGCGTTGACGTAGCGCAGCCTGAACTCTACAATATTGTTTTCCAGTGGCCTTCAAATATATGCAAGTTTTATAGTAATAGTTGGTAGTTGAGTAAGATGTTATGGCAGCCTTACTGTTCGACTTTCACACAAACACCCGTTTTCGGAGCTCACTCCTAAGTTTGTGAGTTGGAGCTCCCAAATTTGATTCTATTTTCGGATTACGGAGTTTTTGCTGTTTTGGTTTCAGCATTTGCGTTTTGAAACAATTCTAAGGTATCATTGTAATACATCACATGTAAACCTTGCATAGTGCAAGCTCAGCTTAATGCAGTACTAACGAAGCGCGTGCGGCGTCCTAACGGGGAGATAGCGGTTGCGGTCTATATGATCAACTGCGCCGTTTTGAGAATGCTGTCTACGTTTGTGATCCATACCATGCACAGACATGGAGGCACAATGCGCCGCTGGCCGATTTATACGATTCCGCATTGCTAGCAACGTGACGCTAGCGGTGACTTCATGTATTTAGAAACTGTAACTTTAATGCCGCGGCAAACAGGACAAATGTCGTAGAAATCGGTATGTTTAAAATTCAGTCATGGTCAAAGTGATCGCATACAACCTTTAAGATTTTTTTTTTTTTGCGTATTGCGTATTCGAAGCGATGGACTGGCACCTTCCTAAAGTTTATTTATAATGATAATATCACCCTTGTACAACCACCGACCAAGTTGTGAAATGCTATCGGTGAACGGATGATGTTATCAGGAATATTCACTCAGATGACTAGGAGATAGTTCTAAATAAGGAGAGGCATACGTTGCAACGGGAAAGAACTTCACGACGGTTTTCCTCGATGGTAACAAGCGAAATTTGTTCAAGCAACGCGTAGGGGTCACTACTTTCGTGTAAAGGTGTCGTCGTGGAGGGCAGCTTGCTTGAGAGATTGTTCCTGGCTGAGAACAGAGATTGCAATTGCCAATATGCCACCTTTATTTTCGCTTCGGCTCGACCAGCTGCTTTCTAACCACTTCAACAAGTTGCTTCGTTGATGCGATGACTAAGGACGGCAATGCGCAATAAACATGGAAGCCACGCCGTGTCTTCACTAACAGCATGCTAATAGATGCATGCACGCTGTACGAGGCATGATGTAGATCAAGGCAACATTTTCTTTTTTAGAAAAACTAATGTGAGTCTAGTTGAGCAAATAAATCCCAATGTGCCTTCCATCTTGATTGGAACCTAGTAGTACCAAGCAACTTGGATTAATAACGAATTAATCCATACAGGGGGTCCAGTTTTGCTGGTTTAGTCTCGTCGGCTCTATCAAGCCAACGTCGTCACCGGCCAACCACTCGAAAAGTCAAGCTTGTTCCAGCCAAACTGTTTCTGGCCATCAGCATAACCAATAGTCGTGTTGACATAGTGGTAGTACAGAATGGGACCATAAGTCGGATCGTCATAGACGCCCTGGCCTCCAGGACCATACACGTCGCCATGCGACGCAAGCACAACGGTGCCGCCTCCTTCAGTACAAAGCTTTCCCTCAGAGTCACGGAAATCCATTACGCCAGACTTAGAACGGCAGACCTTGATCTTGTATTCTTCACCAGCCGCTGGTTTCTTCGTATCGAAGCTGCAGCACACGCCATGTGAAAAGAAGAGATAATTGTAGTCCCCGTACTTGAACATGTTGGCGCCTTCTTCAGCGTGTATACCAACAGGTTCGTACGCGAGCTTGGCGTACGAGTCTGGAACGACAGAAGTTGGAGGGTTATTCATGGCTGCTTGGTACAAACCTTCCTCGTAGCTACCGAAGATCATGTAGTTGCGACCGTCCTCAACAAAGAGATCGGGGTCAATAGCATTGAACTCACTGGAGTCATTACTCTGAATACCAGTGCTTCCCAGGTCCTTCCACGACCCAATGTCCATCGTCGTGGAGGTAGCAACTCCAATTGCCGCTAGATTGTGTCCGTCGAAGGCCACATCTCGAACAGCCGAATAGTACAAGTAGTACGTATCACCCACGAGGTGAACATCAGGAGCCCAAGCATCCATCTTGCCGTCCCAAAGCTTAATGTTCGTTCCGTCGGGTAGCACAGCGCCCTTGTACTCCCATGGACCGGTGAGGTCTGGGGCAGAGTGCACAGCGATCCCACCGCCAGTCGAGAAACGGAAGTATGTGCCGTCAGCACGACGGATGATACTGGGGTCGTGAGTGTTCACACAGACGCCGGAACACGCGCCGGGGTTCACGTACGCGCCGGTGGTCATACTCAGCATAGAGAGACCGAGAGTCGTAATGGAGGAGAACTTCGCCATGTTTTGTTGTTCGTGTCGATGGCAAAACAGATTATGAACTGGATGGCGAAGTTTATCCCAACCGAGTGTAAACTGCACAAAGAAGACGAGGACACATCATCATCTTGGAAAGACAGATTCTGTACGGTGCAGCCTCAAGATGCATTTGGAGGCTTTGACCTTCCTGTATTAAGGGTTAATAATAAACGTGTCTCGATGGTTGAGTAGAAAATATGTATTATTTTTTTTAAAAGAAGTATATTAGCAAGTAAATAATACTGTAGAACCAAACAAAAATATATGTCATAATTTGTGAATTACTAGCTAGCTAATGTTTGATAATTTGTATTTTACCGATGTATTATAAATCACAATCTGTATTATTTGCAGTACGTACACGTAGAACGGCCTCGTTCATGTACAAGCATTAATAAACTCTCATGTTTCTGGGATTCGATTACAAGAAACACTATTGTTCACCTCACTTATTGTTATTATCAGCGAGAAGACCAAACCAATCGCAATCTTCTGCATTCTCATCTTCGCCATCCTCACCGCAGTCAGCGTTCTGCTCTTTAGCCTTCAGTACCTCTTCCAGCGTCATTTTCTGCTGGAGCAATGCGCGTATGTATTGGTTCAAGGCATTCGTAACGCAACGCAGTAGCTCGTCCGGAGGAACCGTACGGTGCTCTCTTTCATAGGATTTCAGTATTAAGTCGACAGCGACTTCGCGGCCACACAAACTAGCATAGTAAAGTGGTGAGTTCTCAAAGTCATCCAGTGCCCTGTACGCGCCTCCATGAACCTTACAGACAGCTTGTAGTACTTCCAAGTCGCCCATCTTGGCTGCTTGCCAAATCGTCAGGTTATTGTGCGAGAAATCGACAGCGTGGGGACATTCAAGCGGCCTCTTCACTAGCCGCAGTATTCTGCGAGGAGCGACGTAACCCACTAAACCCTGGAAAGAATACCAATCTTCCGCGGGGCATCTTTCTGAGGTGTTCGATGCTGCTGTTGGAGATTCCACTACTCGACAGCCAAGATGTCGAAGCACGGTTGGGAGCTCTTCGAGAGTTAACTGAACCCCAAAGTTATCCTTCAGCACATCATATATCTCGTTCAGTGGTAGCGACTGTAGTGAGCCCTTGTTATTGGGGTCTGGGTGTGTTTTCTTGCTTCGGTGAGAGCTGTGAAAGCTGTGTGCAAACTGGGGTTGCAGACTCTGGAGTCGACGCTGTTCGAAAGCCTCCATTAATGATTTACTAACGAGAACATTCCTCGGCTGGCGATTGTACTGCTGCAACAGCAAACGACGACGCGAGCTCTCGGCCACGTTGTGGACTGCTGCAGCGTTGCCCATGATATACTGAAGCCATTGTAGGACAAGAATGGAGACTACCAGGGATCAGACGTTGAAGCTGATGATAAATTTAGTTGTGCTGGTTTTAGTTTATTAGTTAGTGCGACTAACAATATATTAATAGTTCCTACATATTATAGTAAGGTTACGTCAAAGTGGCCGGCCCCCTTTGGGGATTCAAGCAAAAATTGCCACTTCCGGGTAGAAAGCAGACAAATGTGTTCCGTTTATTGGGGTGTCAGCAGGTTGTGCCATCACAGAAAACCGTTCATCAGCACAATGTGAGCTCCCTTCGACAACGACGGTTAATCTTGAAAACGAAATTTCGCTTCCATCCCTATAGCGGTTTGTGTCGCATTTGTACGTATGGTCCAGTTCTCCAGGAGTTTTCGTACTCAGATCACGTGTAGGTTGCACTGCAACCGTTGCAGGTATTATTTATATTACTTCAAGTAGTTAACGTCGATGGCAGTCACGCGCAAAAACATCAAATTTTACCACTTCATCAAAATTATTGTGGATCCTAGATCGCTGGGTCAATTGTTCAACTTGTCTGCAAACTCTTCGTCGGCGTATTCATGCAGTTCTGCCTCTTCCATCTCAAATTGGAAGTCGTTTTCGCTGGCGTTGTCTCCATCTGCATCATGTCGTTTCTCCTCCTCATTCGTAGCAACGCGAAGTCGCTTCTCCTTGGGATGTTCGCCGTCAATTTGGCTTCTGGTCACTGAAGGTTGCCTCTTTCTTCTCTCTAGTTGGTCCTCACGACCAGATTTCCCGATTTTCCGCTTCTTTGTGGTGAATTTGGACTGTGCATCGCGATGTAGCTCTGACATAGCAGAGGAAACTGCTTCATTTGGAGCGCGGTTACGGTACAGTTGTTCCTCGTAAGCTTCGACGATTTCCGGCACATCTACACGCAATTTGTCGGCTTTCTCCCATGTATCGTCACTCGCATCGTAATTTTCCCACCGCACGAGATACTCCCGTTTCTTGTTGAACAAACGATGATTAACAATGTGATCGACCGTGTAGAATTGTGCCTCTTGCGCACCTGCAGCTCCGTTCCTTGAAGTCTTCTTTTTACTTTTCGGATTCATCGCACTTTGGTTGTCCCATGCGCGTACTTCTGCCGCGTACAAATCGATTAACTCTCTGGTCTGGGGTGGAGCTTTGCGACGTGAGATCCACAGCGGCTTCTCCACTCCTTGCCAGCGAATACAAAACTCCTTCGCTTTTCCATACGTCCGTATACCCAGTACTTGTTCAGCGGTCAGATTGGCAGCAATACGTTTGCCAACGCGATCTTTTCTTTGTGTTTCTTCTGTAGGAGTTTGCGGTTGTGTTCGTGGCGTTGATCCAACAGAACCAGATGCCGGTCGTGGAGGGAGATCTGTTACAACCGGTGGCGGCACCTTTCCGCTTCGCTTATTCGTTTTCACCTTACTTTTGGCTCTAGGACTCGCCGTGGCAGGCGAAGGTGAAGGTACTCTCATTCGAGCTGCAGTAGCAACACCTTGAGCTACTGCAGGTTGTACGTAGTCTGGAGCTAACATCGCTGTCAACTTGACACTGTTGGAGAGCAGCATGTCGTGGAAGATTTCAGAGCTGATCTCATCGCCCGAATCCATATCGTCTCCAACATTTTTATCTGCGTTCTCTTTCTCTCTTTCTCCGCTCTGCTCTCTCTCCGCTCCCCAACCGCTCATATCGTCCACAAAATCCTGGGGCATTGCCTCCCCTTCATCTCCGTGCGCCAAGTACCTGGACAAAGAGTCCTGAGCCTGCTGTGGAGATTCATTGTCTGCCTGCTTGGCCCGATTTAGCGCCGGAACGATATCTCGGTGGAAATAATCGTTTATTGACGCCATCAGGCCCGTTATGGTCTTGTCGGTGGCGCTCAGTAGGTTGGCTTGGTGTCTGGCATCCTGCAATTGAGTGGCTGCATCTCTCGTGGGCGCTAATAAATTCTGAAGCTCCTGCGACAGCACCGTCACTTCATGTTGGCGCTCCATGAGTCGCAGCCAGGTAATGAAGCTGCAATATAACGAGATTGTGAGGACTACAGAAAGAAAAAAAAACAAGGGGCGGCTCGACAGATGTAGGACTCACAAGTCTTTCACGCGGTCGGCTGCGTCATCGCTGTTACCGCCCTGGGCGTGTCTGGCAGGCGCTGGAGCCGCCGCCATGGTCTCAACGTTCTGTGTCACGTCCCCGTTGACAAGCAAATCTTCAGTTAAGTTGCACAATGAGGTCTTACCACAGCTTTATAGTTTCAATTCACATTTAAGTTGCGGAACTTTTTCACGTGGGTTACACTTCATAACCCAATTTGACAAAATGAAGGTGGTGGCGCTGGACGCTGGTGGTGCCACGCTCAAGGCGTCTGTGGTGGCTCCAGGCGTGACTCCGACCGCGTCGATCTTAGCGAACCACGTGGCGTCGACGTCTGCCAACCCATCGACGGTCTTTATGGGCCAGAAATTGCAGGAGCTTGAGCGACAACGAGCAAAGTTGCGGTACTTGCGGCCGGTGCAGAGGTTAGATATGGGGTACACTTGCTGGCGATGATGGATATAAGCTGAACCGTATCTCTCTCTGCAGGGGATATTGCGTCAACTGGAACGTTGAGTCGGAACTGTGGGCGCACGTGGTGTCAAGCGAGGCAAGTTGAAGTTGTATTGTACCCCAACACCAGGGTTACGCTCTGTAGTCTAATACTTCTGTCCTTGTAGATGCTGAAGGTGGACCCATCCGAGCACGCGCTGGTAGTCACAGCACCGCTACTGGCACCTGCAGTCGTAAATGAGAGTATGGACCAGGTAGTATTTGAGGAGTTGGGCTTTCAGTCCTACGCTCGAGTCAGTGCAGCTGAGAGCTGTGTACTCTCGTACTCTGAGCACTGCGAACGTGAGTTTCGAGAGAGTCTTACAGTGGACAAGGAGCCAGTGATAAGAAGTCCTGGCAAGAAGCGACGGAAGACAACGAAAGCGTCAGAGCCACCGACCTCACCGCTAATAGTAGACGACGATCCTCTGCGGTTCTCGACGTCCTCTTGCCACCTTGTGGTGGACTCTGGATTCTCGTTTACACATGTGGTTCCAGTGATTGATGGGAAGGTTTACTTACCGGGTGTGAGGCGGATAAATGTCGGTGGGAAGCTGCTGACGAATTATCTCAAGGAGATCGTGTCTTATCGACAGTGGAATGTCATGGACGATACGCCTGTGATTAACGAGCTAAAGGAGGCGCTGTGTTACTGCTCGATGGAGTTTGAGAGTGACCTGAAGCGATATCACTCCGATCGACAGCAGCGGAAGCATTGGATTCTGCCCGACTTTGTGCGAACCTTTGAAGGACGCTGCCGTGAAGATGACATGGAGGACGAGGGGGAGGCGCAGACTGACGCGCAACAATCTGCGAGACAGGATAATGATGAACAGGCTTTGGAGATGGGCGTTGAGATGGTCACAGTGCCCGAAGTGATGTTCCATCCGTCGGATATTGGCATTAACCAGGCAGGAATCGCCGAGACGATCGTGCAGACCGTGGAGGCGTGTCCCGAAGAGCTCTCAGGTGCGTTTTACGCCAACATCCTACTGGTCGGAGGAAACACAAAGTTCAAGAACTTCCGGCAACGACTCGAGCGCGATTTAAGGCCCCTGGTGTCTGACGATTTTGACATCGGATTGCACGAACCTTCAGAGTGAGTGTCACAGCTGCTGCTTGTGCATTGAATAGTGCGTTAACCTGCTGCTGCGTTTATGTTTTTACTAGCCCGATACTCGCTGCCTGGCAAGGTTGCTGTTCTCTCGCTGAGTCGGGCGCGTTGACCGAACGGGTCGTGTCTAAGCGGGAATACGAAGAGCATGGTAGCAATATCTGTCTGAAGCGCTTCTAACCGATACAAGCAAATATTACGTAGTAGAAGACGCTTGGAAGGCATGGCTTTGTATGAGCTCAGGGCTGTTCGACGTTACGTCGGCAGTTCAACGACTTGCAACAAGGACAGAATGATGGTGATACCATCATTCTAAGTTGAAGTGCCTTTATTCCAGGATGAAGTCATGCGGGTCTTATGCTGAATTGTATGGCTTCTGTCTCTCACTTTTCAATTTACCCTTTCAAAGCAAACCCTCAAGCCTCTGTCCCTCATGATGAACGCACAACTACGTCGCTGTATGCAGTCAGCCAGTAGGAATATGCAGCAGCGCTCGATGAGTTTCAAGGTCCGCGTCGGGGCTGTCGAAGCCCCAAAGTTTCCTATCGTCGACCGCCAGCGCGTGCAGCAAACTTGGGGCATTTCTGGCAATGAAGCGTTGGAGAAACTGCGTGTGGCTACTCCTGGCCTCACGTACGTATCGATAGCACCACCAGCATTCTTCGACGAAGTGGCTCAAGCTCGAGGCTGCAGTAGTGATCAACTCGTTGCAGTAGCTCGAGTGTCAAGTGACGCCCACGATCTGTTGGAGCGCGTGGATGTTCTAGCGCAAGGCTCCAACCGTCTCCTCATCGGTTTCGACCCTCGTCCACCTCGTGGATGGCCAGTTGAAGAGCCTGTCGAGTCTGGCAAGCACCTTCTGACCGAAATCTTCGTCCGAGAGGCGTCTGAGCTTCGGAATCTTGGCGCATTTGGCGGCGGATCTCTCGTGGTGAGTGACTGTGAGCAAGGCAGAATCCTTGTGAACGACCGGCCGTACGGGAAGCTCAAGTTGGCATCCTTTCGAGGAAGTCGAGTGTTCGTGACACAAGACCAGGGACTGCGTGCAGGCAGAGTCTCTCTCTTCGCTGGCAGAGGTGGCCAGCTCTTCCTGTGTGCTCCAGAGATCATCGGCAAGGATCGTATCCGTGCAGCTGCGGCCGGACGCTGGGGAGAGTCCAAAATTGTCGTGCAGACTTCGAGTCTTGCTACTCCGAGTCTTGGAGCGGCTGTAACAGGATCCGGGAGTGTCCGCTTCGCTGCAGTCTCGAATGAAGACAATTGTCAGTGTGAATACCAGTCACTTGCTATTGCAGGAAGCGGGAGTATTGATACAGCTGATGTGGCGTCGCGGTATGGCCGCGTAGCCATCCTGGGCTCAGGTTCGGCAACATTGCAGACGTCCGAGTCACTGACTGTCGGAACATTAGGCTCTGCACGAGTAAACTATCTCGAACCTGGACCTGATAATGTACGAGGCAGTACCTCGTCGCTCCGAGCGTTGAGTGCTGCTGCCAAGACTCAACACGATGAAGAGCGAGCAGCGATTGCAGCTGTCGTCACACCACCAACGCGAGAAAGCGCCTTCGAGGACACTGGCTACACTCTCAATCGCTGGTGGTGGAGACCCTGGTCATGCCGTTCCCATGGATTTCATCGACAGATGAAGCACAGCAAGCGCTGGCGTGACGACTTCGCCTACTGAGCTGTTGAAGTGTCCTGGACCTTCGAGTAACCACAACATTCCAAGACAAGACAACCATCTACTCATATACATCGTTCACATTCAGCATTGAAGGAAGCATCCGGCCCAACAGATAGGCCTCATCCGTGTGTCTACTCTTGCCACTTCCTCACCCTCTACTTACCGAATGACGGAGTCTTCCTCCTTTGCTGCCAGGATACACAGCTAGGACATGCGTAACTGGTAGTCGCCGTTCTGCGTGATGTATCGAACCCACGGTAGTGCCTGGTAGCCACTCTTTTCAATGATCTTGAGGTAGCGCACCTGGATGCCCGAGACTGTGAAGTACGGGATCTCGAACTTGACCTGAATGGGAGCTTTCCAGTCGTCTGTGGCCTCGTGGTTGTCCACACTGGGCAGACCAAAGTGCGCACGCATGAGGTACTCGCGAGAACCGTTGAACTGCTTGATAGACCAGACGATGGCGTCGCGGTCGGGCACGTACGTCACTGATCCAATGCTGCACTTGAAGCTGGGCGAATCAACATCAGGAGGCACTGGGATCACGATCTCCACGTTGTTAGCGATACTGCGGCTCTTGAACTGCGACTTAGCCTTAACCATGTACTCAATACGGGAGCGTGAGTGAGGCTCCACCACCGCTTCGACCCAGATCAGAGGCTTGACGTGTGTGGCCAGACGGTACGTCATGAGGTCGAACTCTCCATCAGGCGGGATGAAGGAGATCGTACGGTCAGACTCGAAGCGCGCGAGTCGGACGCACTGGTGGAACTTGATGTCCTCCATCTCGACGGCTTTGCCCTTGCTGGACGATCGACCTGTAGCTTCGAACAGCGCCTTGTCGTTGAGACCGAGCTTGAGTTCGGGCATGCCGGACAAAAAGCTCTTCATCTTGACAGCTCCAATAATCTCAGAGTGCAACACAGTGCCGTTGCTAGAGACCAGCAGGTTGAGTTTCTCCACCACGTCCAGGAAGATTTCGTTTTTGCGATGTTTGATGCCCTCACTACGCCAGGAGACGGCGTTGGTGAGAGCCGTGGGCGGACGGGGCGCCGCCTCCAGTCTGTGACCCTCTTGGGTGATATACTCGCGCAGGATGCGAGCCTCTGTGGTTTGCGGGTATCCATGGTCCATAGTCTCGTCCAGTAGCTCAAAGATAATGACGAAGTTGTCTCGAATACTCTCCTCTTCCAGCTCACCGAAGTAGTCGCGGAAAACTTGGCAGATGCGGGTGAGATACATGAGCATAAGCGCCACGTTCGAGTTCACCTTGGTCACGGTCATCAGGTACAGATTATTGTGCTATAGATGGTATGCACATATACATAATAAGCATACTTGTATACAGTAATAACGATATGGAACTGTAGGACCTTGAGATAGACGAAAGTATAGCCGTCCTCAGTGAACACGGGGCGCTGCTCCGAGTCGTCCTTGTCCTGCACGTAGCGCGTAAACTTGGACGACGCTGACATGGGGATGTCCCCGCGGTAGTTGCGCGAGATGATGACCTTGCCCTTCAGGTCGGTGATGAACACGGCCGACAGCACCATGGCGAACGAGGAGGTTCCTTCAGCTTACGTCCGGCGCAGGTTGAGGACTGCCGCGTGGTATCTAGCGGAGAGTAATATGATTGGACAAAATGTAAACCAAATGGACCAATGAGATAGTCAAATTGCCATGTCGAAGTAGCAACCTGTGCATATTGATCTACCGAATCTCTTTATTCAAATAACCACGCATTTTGTACATTTTCATATGTAGGTATCATTTCTATTGCTCTTAGCTTTATCCTTCGATACTGCATGAGTTTCTTGGACAGGTTCTCCGATTTCTGCCCATTAATCGAAAGCAAATGGAGGACAGCGTGACAATCGGTGCGTCGGTGGCCGTGCGCAGCGTACGAGACGCCGAGCACGGCGTTTACGAGTACCTAGAGGAGCAGCACCCTCTTCCCTCGTCCCCTGAACGCACGCTAGCGCTACCCGTTCGTCTGAGCGGTTGGTTATGGCGCCGCGAGGGCTTTGGGATCTTCCGTCGCTATCGCCGCCGCTTCTGCGTGTTCAAGGCGGAACAAGCGACGCTCTTCATCTACGCGGACGATGACACGCTGAACGGGAAGCAGCTTCGTAGTCTGGTGCTCACCAAAGTGATGCTCACGAGTCGCGCGGACCGTAGTTTTGTGGTGCAGGGCCATCTACAGGACCGGGAGGTACACAAGGAGGCGTCGGACTCCATGGTTCGACGCGCGAGCACCTTAAGCCGCAATCTATTGCCAAGAGACACCCAGATGTTCTTCTCGCCTGAGGAAGAGCGCTTTAAGGCTGTATCAGCTAAAGCCTGCAGTGTCTGGACCCACTGCTTCAAATACCACATGAAGAGCTACGCGCTAAGGAGGCAGGAAGCAGGCCAGGAACATGAACAGGAAGAGGCTGAGAGAGACACTTCTACTTCTGAGATGGATCCAAATTTTGTGTTTGAAGACGCTACAAAGAGCGGCAAAAGGCGCCATACGCTACCTGGAAGCAGCTTTCGGAGTTTTGGTGGTGGCAGTGGGCTGTTTACAGCTTCGCGATCAAGAAGCAAAAGCAGAGGTAAATTGGTGGTGGGGAGAAGAGAGAGTTTGGAAGGACGGGACAATGACGCACCGAAGTCGGCACCGCAGTTTGAAGAGAACCACAAGCAGAGACAGGATATAGCTATGGAAAGGTTAAATTCGGGTGCAAAGAACGAAGAACTGGAGCCGAGAGCGGCGACGAAGATATCGCAAAATCAGGATGAGGTTGTAGAGGAAGAGAATCCGATCTTGGTGTCGGATCTTCCTTGTATATCGAGCATTTGGGAGAACGAGGAACTGCTTTCCCATTGTGTCGACTATGACGCGATCGTTAAGGAAGAGAAGCTGGCTGCTGGTGCGAATGGCGAAGTATGGCGTGCCATGCACCGATCGCAGGAGGTCGTGGTTAAGAACCTGTTGGGGGAAGTTATGACAGGGTCCAAATCCCCAACATCGTCCAATGCGAACGAGGTCACTGCAGTTTACCGTCGGCGTCGCGCCATCCTGAATTTTGTGGAAGAAATTCGCATTATGTCGCGACTGGAACACAATCGGATTGTCGAGTTCCGAGGTGTGGCGGTGAGTGCAGAGCGTGGTCTTCTTCTGGTTATGGAATATTTGCCTCGAGGCGACCTGCGGACGTTTCTAAATACTGTCAAGCGCAACGGAGATAATTCCACAAGCTCGTCTGGAGGGTCGAGTGGGCAGTACTTGAGTATCTGGACCTGGACGAAATCACAATGGCGTTTGGCGATTGATATCATTGAGGGACTCGTGTACTTGCACTCGTTGAATCCGCCTCTGGTGCATGGCGACCTCAAGTCTGCCAACGTTTTATTACGCAGCAATCTTCGCGCGAAGCTGACGGACTTTGGACTTTCACGATATCTTCTATCGGAGGATGAATGCTTGGGGTCGGTAGATACTACAACAGCGAGTGAGGAGAACCCCACTACCAGCAGTTCGTCTCGTTATGGCTCTCGAGCACGCGGCACAGGACGCTGGATGGCTCCAGAGCTGCTGACGAGTGGAGCACAGTCCTCCATGGCCTCGGATGTGTACGCTTTCGGCATTGTTTTATCCGAGATCGACACGTGCGAGTTGCCGTTCACCGAGCGAGAGAAATTGGTCGCGCGGTCCCACACGTCGCATACAGCAAGCGCAGGTGAAGACAGCAGCGAAGATAGTGACTCTCGCTTGCTGAACGAAAGCATGATTGTCCACAAGATCGTGGCCGAAGGGTGGAAGCCGACGTTTCGAGTGACGTGTCCTGAGGTTATCAAGAAGCTCGCGCAAGAATGTTTGTTGCCAGACCCGAACGCGCGCCCCACGTCGCTTGCAGTAGCACACCGACTCCGAAAGGCTGCCACGAAACGCGAGCGCCCAGAAGCACTCGCGGCGCAGGCAAAGGCTACTACGTCGCTACGTATTCGCTGAGCATGTGCGCGTACATATTTAACAGCTGCAACGCCATCGAAGATACAGCAGCTTACTGCACGAATAACCCCTTGCTAATCATACAACGGAATGTGGGGTATGCATTCGTACTACGTCCTTATTAAGCAAGCTGAGTTACCACGGAGCCTTGGATCGAGCGTGTTGATCACGCCTTAGCAGTCTACGGCATGATCTGCACCAGAGGAACAGGAAGGCTTTTTGATCTTGCTGCGGACCAGTGTTCCTCGAGAAGTGCGAGGTCTTCAGCACGCCTTAGCTCGTACGTAGAGCAATCTTATCATTTACCTCTTCTATTTGGGTTTGAAGCCTACGTAGATTTATTCTACTTAGCCCTTTCTTTCTCATTTTCTAGATCTCTAACTGCTCGTTTACATATAGCCCTACATGCTGGTGTCTGCTTTGACAGTAAATTGCCAAATGTTATTAATCCTGCCCAAATCGATCACGATCCTGTTGTAACTCTGTGAGAAATTATTTCTGAAACCTGATGTGCTTGCATATCCTATATGGACCACCCCCCGCGAAAACGGGATGCATTGCTGTACACGTACCTTTGACAGTCATAGCGCTGCTAGCCACCAATTTATTCCTGGCAAAGGGTATTCCTATCCATGAATGTACCACAAAATGGATCTGAGTACCTTTGGTTTGGAACAGTGCACCGCATCCAGTAGTGGAAACGATTGGCTTATTTCACCTTCCCTCTTCGCAAGATGCTGGAAGCACATCGGGTATTTAGACTACTACAGTTGCGTCTACGAAGATCCAGACGAAGATGATACAATATCCGCTGTGCTTGCGACGATGTTATCGCGTCTGCACGCTAAGGATCCAATGTCCGTGGACAAGCTTCTGAACCCGCCGGATGAGAACACAACTACAGAAGATTCCACAGATAAACACTTCTGTAGAGTTGGTGACCAATAATTGGCTATAGATGGCTCTGAGACCGGGTCGGAAAACCCGGGCGAGGGCGATATGCAGCTTAGTATTGAGGACGACCTTGAGCTAGAAGCAATTAAAAAGCATCTCATGTGGATTGATACCCTTCAGTTGTAAAAGGAAACACATTTGAAGTCAATTATTCATATTCTGGGGTGATTAACTATGGGAACAGTCATACACACCCAAAGGAATCTAGTAAGGTGATTGTGGCCTTGAGAGGGAATAATATCTTGGGTTTGTAGACTAGTTTATTGCTGTTGAGGGAGTATTCCAAGCCTAGGGATTACTAGCGAGGGAATCGTTCGTACTTAGGGTTTATAGTGGGTAAATACTTCAATGTTTTTAGCCCACTACTGTACTGGGCTTTCGGGTGAAATCAAAAAAACGGTATATCGGATTCGTAGAAAACTTGTGTGGAATTCGTGTGGTGCTCTTTGCTCGGATTACTTGGAAAACCGGTACGCTCCCAGATACCGCGTTTTTTCACTCCACAAAGAAGCTTCTTCCCCTGTCATGCTTACTCAATTCAAGATAAGGAAGAACAGGGGGAGAAGGGAGGAAAACAGGAGATTCTACTTTTTTCGTATGAGACATGAAAGTTTTACTGTATATTTCACCCATACAAACCTAAAAGGGACGCGGGTTACAGAGCAAAATACGAATATTGCGGTGATAAACACACTTTTCCATGTGCCGTCCGCACGATTTACTGCCCTGTGACATGAAAACAGTGTGTCGAACACCAGTGAAGGTGGACCACCTGAGTGAGTGTGGGATACATGAACAACGGATCAAGATCGCTTTCCATTCGTGGTTCTGCCGTGTCAAGCGCAATAGGAGCAACACATATCATCACAAACCATGGCGACGGAGGCCGAGCTGACCGCGCAGATCGCAGCTGCCGGCGAGAAAGTGCGCGACCTTAAGGCAGCCAAAGACGCCACTAAGGCCGACGAGATCAAGGAGGCTGTGGCGCAGCTGCTGGCGTTCAAGGCGCAATTCAAGGAGGTGACGGGCAAGGACTTCGGCCCGCCGCCCAAGCCCAAGAAAGAGAAGAAACCGCAGCCGGAGCAGCAGAAGCCCAAGGACCCTGCAAAGAAGTCCAAGAAGGAGCTCAACAAGGAGCGCAAGAAAGCCCACAAGCACGCGCTCAAGGCCGGCGTGGCGGACGAGTCCCCGGCGGCTGCCGCCGCCCACGCAGCTCCTGCTGCTGTTGCAGCGCCAGCTGCAGCTACTGACGGTAAGAAGGCTCTGAAGAAGGCCGCACACGCCGGCATTGAGCTGCCCACGCCTTCGGCCGAGGATGACGGTGTCATCGTTTTCTCCAGCGCCGGTCAGCTGCCGCGCGCCAGTTACGTCGTCGCGCAGCTCGTCAAGTACGCGCCTGGCTTCCGCAACTTCGGCCGCGACGCCGCCGCCTCGGCTGTGATTCCCACGCTGACACTGGCCGACGGCCGCATCGTGTCGGGCGACTTTGCCATCGCGCGCTTCCTGGCTCGCACTAAGCCCGAGCTTGGTCTGTACGGCGTGGCTGCTAAGGACGCCGCTGCCAATGAGGCTGCTTTGCCGCCCTCGCAGATCGATGCATGGCTGGACTTCGCTCTGACGCGTCTCGGCCCCAACCTGGAGGACGACGGCGGTCTGCAGATCCTGAACCGTGTACTCAAGACGCAGACGTTCATCGTGGGCCACGCTCTGTCGCTCGCGGATATCTGCGTGTGGTCGCTGGTCGCTCCGCTGCAGAAGAAACTGGACTTGTCGCCATTCCCGAACGTGACGCGCTGGTTGGCGTATCTGGAGGCGCAGCAGACACTGTTCGCTAAGGTTGACGGCTCTCTGAAGGCCCTGAAGCCCATCAAGGCACCTGCTCCTACTGGAGCTGCCAAGAAGAAAGACACAGGCAGCTGTCCCCCTCTGAAGGACGCAGTGGATGGTCAGGTAGTGACCCGATTCCCTCCTGAACCCTCTGGATACCTGCACATTGGCCACATCAAGGCCTGTATGCTCAACAACTACTACGCGCGTCACTACCACGGCAAGCTGATCCTCCGTTTCGACGATACGAACCCCAGCAAGGAGAAGGACGAGTTCGAGCAGAGTATTATCGCCGACTTGAAGCGTGTGGAAGTCTTCCCGGACGTCGTGACTTATACGTCCGACTACTTTGACAAGATCGCGGACTTTGCTCGTCAGATGATCCGTGAGGGCAACGCGTACATGGACAACACGTCACAGGAGCGTATGCGCGAGGAGCGTATGGAAGGAATCAACTCCAAGTGTCGCGATCAAACGCCGGAAGAGAACTTGGCGCTGTTCGAGAAGATGCTGAAGAACGCACCGGAGGCTCAGGGCTACTGTATGCGCGGTAAGATCGACATGCAGGCCAAGAACAAGACGATGCGTGACCCCGTCTTCTTCCGTCTGAACCCGACGCCCCACCACCGCACGGGCACCAAGTACCAGGCGTATCCGACGTACGATCTGGCCTGTCCCATTGTTGACTCGCTCGAAGGCGTGACCCACGCACTGCGTACGACGGAGTACAACGACCGTGACTTCCAGTACCAGTGGGTATTGGACACGCTACGTCTGCGTAAGGTTATTATCCAGGGCTTCGCACGTATGAACTTTGTGTACTCGGTGCTGTCGAAGCGTAAACTGCAGTGGTTCGTGGACAATGGACACGTGGAGAGCTGGAGAGACCCGCGGTTCCCCACGGTTCAAGGTGTGCTGCGTCGCGGTGTGCAGGTGGAGGCGCTGCGTGAGTTTATCTTGAGTCAGGGAGCTTCGCGTCGTATCACGGACATGGAATGGGACAAGTTCTGGACTCTCAACAAGCGCGTGTTGGACCCGACTGCTCCTCGTTACTTCGCGGTCGCCAAGGAGTCGTCGGTGCCGCTTACGTTGACGAATGTTTCGGGTGAAGTGATTGGAATTCCAGTGGCTCGCCACCCGAAGGATCCGTCCATGGGCAACAAGATGGTGCGCTTCTGCAACAAGCTGCTGCTTGAGCGTGACGACGTCAACAACTTCGTGGAGGGCGAGGAAGTGACGCTCATGCGTCATGGCAACATCATCGTCAAGAAGCTGAACAAGGCTGCGGACGGCACCATCACGAGTGTCGAGGCCGTGAACCACCCGGAGGGAGACTTCAAGAAGACCAAGCTCAAGGTCACGTGGCTGGCGGATGTGCCTGACCTCGTGCCACTGACGCTGGTGGAGTTCGACCATCTGCTTAACAAGCCCAAGCTCGAGGAAGGCGACGACTTCCAGGACTTCCTCACGGAGACCACGCGGGCTGAGATGCACGCTGTGGGTGACCACGAGCTGCGCAACATGAAGGAGGGACAGGTCGTGCAGCTTGAGCGTCGCGGCTACTTCCGTGTGGACGTTCCATACATCTCGGACGACAAGCCCGTCGTCATGTTCATGGTGCCTGACGGCAAGGTCAAAGCCATGTCCACGCTGTCCACCAAGCTTGCCCACCGGTAAGCGCGTAAATCACCAGAGTTAGACGAGGGATCGTCTTAGAGGAAGGTAGCATTGATAAGAAGCAATGCAGTGCATTTAGTCCACAATTACAAAATCGCTTTTGCAGTGAGTTACGTCGTTGGCGTTTTCTGCTGTCGAGCGACGATCTGCTGGGTGTCTGAGACCGGCTACGTGTTGCTGCGGCTGCAATGCTGCCATCGTACATGCACGAGTTCTTCCAAGCAGCGATGACCACGGTGGAGCTATGCGTCACTTCAAACTGCCTTGCATGTCATGCGAGATTTGTACAGCTGCCACCGACTTCCTATGTTTCGAACACCAATCGGTGGCAATAGCTACATTTACGCAAATCTATGCACCGAGCTTCTCTTATCCGGAGTGAGCCCGTTACGTAGGTCAAGTAGGCGCGTGCCTTCGAGGCCCCAGACGCAGTCCGAGACATTCCGTTCGAGTCGCAGCACGCGTCGCCACCTCAATCGTTCATCTCACACACAGAGAATCTCCCTCATGAGCGCACACCTGCTGCTTCGGTACGAAGATGTTTTTACTAAATTCGGATGTGCGACTAGCTCAAACTAACGTTCTATGGGTATTAGTTCCTGGTCAAGTCGACGGCGAGCGTTAACGCCACTGTACGCCGCTCAAGGAGGCGCCAGCGATGTCCAACGTCGCGTAATGCAGTCGCTGGCAAGGCGAGAGCTGCATTCAGTGCGTCGTCCCGTTGCAAGGTCCACTTCCTCACTGTTACCGGAGCTCCAGCTGTACAATATGACGCAGCGATGGCACGGACACGGCCACAGCCATGGAATGCTTGAGGAGGAAGAAGAAGAAACTGCAGAGGAGCGGGCACAGAGGCTGAAACTCTCGGCGGAGGACGTGAAGGCTGCGGATCGTATCACGTGGATCGGTGTATGGCTGAATGTGGTGCTCAGTGGACTGAAAGGAGTCGCTGGAGTGGCGTTCCACTCGTCTGGATTATTAGCTGACGCTGCGCACTCGATGAGTGACCTTGTGAGCGATTTTGTGACGCTTGTAGCGCTTAAATACTGCGCCAGACCGGCCGACGCATCGCAGCCGTACGGGTATGGCAAGTATGAGACGATGGGGGCATTGTCGGTCTCACTATTGCTGGTTGGAGGATCGCTGGGCATCATGGTTCACTCGTTGGACACACTACTAGTGCTGATGGAGCCAGCGACTGTTGTTTCGACTTTAGACCCCAAGGAAGTGGTGGAGTTGGTGGAACACTTGGATCCTCAAGCCCTCGAAGCCGTGGAAACGCTAGCCAAGTCGACCCAAACGCACGGACATGGTATGGTCATGCATCCCGCTGCTTTGGGCATCGCTGCGTTGTCTGTAGCCGCCAAAGAAGCCCTATATCGCACTACAATGAATATTGGACGTCGTGTACACTCCAGTGTACTAATTGCGAATGCCTGGCATCATCGCAGTGACGCTGTCACGAGTGTGGTGGCCTTGGGAGGCATCGGTTTGAGTCTCGCGGGTTTCCCGTTATTCGACCCGCTTGCGGGTATTGCGGTGGGTGGAATCATCTTGAAAATGGGTGCAGAGATCGGCTGGGATGCGGTCAAGGAGCTGTGTGACGCCAAATTGCCCGATACGACCATTATGAACCTGCAGAAAGCAGTGGACGGCGTGATTGGAAATAGTAACGGTGCAGTACAAGTTCGTCAGCTGCGCAGTCGTAAGGTTGGCAGGCATATCCACGTGGATCTCACTTTGGTGGTTGACGATGCATCTGGCGTACATCGTGCTGTCGAGTGGAAGCAGAAGGTGAAAGGCGCCATTAAGAATCAGGTACCGCGCGTAAAAGATATCGTCGTGGAAATCGCCACGCCTGAACAGTTGGCTGCAACTGCCGCAGCCGAAGCGAAGGAAGCCCACGATCACGCTTCGAATAGCTACCTGTAAACAACTATACTACGACGCCTCCATTTTGTTAGACAGCAAAATAAAAAAAAAGATCTATGCTGGAAAACTTCAATCATTTGTTTTTTCCAACCGAATAAACGTTTCACGAATGTAAAAGTATCAAGGGAAAGCTTGTGCAGTGGCAAAAGTGGCAGCTCATGAATCCATAATGGAAACTTCGATGTACTTAAGTACTGTACAAGTGGACCGTTTCCGTGGCATGTTTCGTAAAAAAAAAAAATGCGAATTTGCCGGTCATTTGGTGACAGTGTTTCGTTCGCAAGCTGACGGTGACAGTTCCAAGTGTAACATTTTAAGCGCATGTTGACCACGGGCAGTGGTTAATCACGTCCAGCTCAACGCCGAGCAGTTAAATTGAGTGCTGTTTTGTTACAAGAAGAAAAACCTGTAATATTATGTAAGAAGGATATACAGTATCCCTCCATTATTGGTTACGGAGAGCGTGTGAGTTTTACAGTAAACAGACTCGTTTTTTTGCACTCCGACTATCCATTTGCAGTCGGACGCACGGCGGCACGCAAGTTGCAGTCGCCTGCCTGCGCTGGCGACTCGCCGTGGATAGCTTCGACTAGTGCAGCCGACGTTTATTATTCCGGTTGGATCGAGGACGTTGAGCGGCTCAGCTTGAGCCGAGTTGAAGTCGTTGGTGTGGGACTCGGGCGATCTTAAAATTTACTAGCACAACCGGCGGCCGACAGTCGGACCCATAGGCGAGCAATCCTAGGCTCCGATACTACCGCGGTAGCCGCCGAGTCCGACCTCATCCGCATTGCTTACAAACCAGAGTTATGGCCTAATGCTGGGTATGAAAATGTTGGCATAAATATTTGCAGTCCTGGTGAAAGATTTATCAACAAGTTCGCGATCGCCGGTGGTGGTTGTCCCACGGCTTTCCCGTATAATAATACAAACTTCGAGAGAAAGTGAGACTTTCGCAACTGAAACGCGTCTCCCGAACACGGCCCGTCTCCCTCGCTCTCTATCGGGTCAGCCACTCAAGTCGCCATTGCTCAAATTGCAAACAAGCGGTGAGAGTACTGTACCAACATGACGAACTCGCTGCCTGCGTGCACGGGCGTCTTTATGCGCGCGCACTGCCCGCACCCTCGGCTTTTCGAGGAGGAATATAAGCGGTGAGTAGCCACAGCACACGACCGTCAGCTGGGGTCGCGAAATACTTAGAGGGCCGTCGTCAGCGCCACCAGCTGATCTTCCCAGGCTGCACGCGCACCACGTGCGCGTGCGCCCAAACTGGCGGCTAGTGCTTGGTCTGTTGCTTGAGTTCCTTTCGATGTCTGACTGGCTTATTCCCTCTATTCTGTTGTAACGTTATTCCACTCGCAGGAGCAACCGAAACCGAGGCACAAAGGTGTGTACAACGCGCGATTGCGGAACAGCTTTAGTCTAGTGTTTTCTTCGATTCAACTAGTGTGGTTCTGGAATTCTCATCGGTTCTTGCTATTATTTGCATTAAAAAATGCCTCCAACCTAAAAACAACAGATCTTGCGGTGCGTTTTGAATAATGATAAGCAACTCACGGTGTATGGACGTAACAATGCATTCGTTTGTTGTTTTCTAGGTGCTTTCCACATTGCTGTCCACATCATGTAGACAGGAGCTACTGCGGGTCGTCGCTCGAAATCGTGTTGCGTTTCGATAACGAGACGGATGACCCGGCGGACGATGGAAGTTTCATACCATTTGACATCACGAACGTCGTCGTTTTCGCTCGTTTCGAGGTGGACGGCAAACCTCCCAGTGACACGAAAACGTTGCGGTACTTGCGTAGCGTCTGTCAGAGTGAGGTAAACCCAGAGGGTTCGTGGATCGAGGGTGTGCGGCAAACAGCAGCAGACAGACAGCAATATTCGCAACAACTGCCTCCAATGCGATCAGCGAACTCTCAAGAAAATGCACAACCCGAATCAACAACATTCGTACTAAACGGCCAGGCGTATGCCAAGTGGTACTACCACTGGGGCAGCGGGGCCAACAAGGTGCAGCGCGCGACGAAGCACGTGCTTAAAGCTTACGTTTTCTACCAGACACGGGCTCAAACCCAGCAAGGATCCGTTCACCAGGATCAGGCTAGAGACGGAACGCTCGCGTTAATGTGCGTGGTAACATCTCCACCATTTACGGTGGTCTCATATCGTCGCGCACCGCTGGATGTATCCACTGGTCTAGTAGGGTCTCGCTCTGATGCTACAGCATCAACGGTGCCGCATTACGCGACGGATACCTATCACCCCGTTGATCCACGATTGCGAAGTCTTGTGCAGCACCAAATCTCGAGAGCTTTCCAAGAGTACAACCAGCAACAACAACGGGGCTCACGTAGTGGATCTTCGGATGAGCCATTGCGTTTATTGGATGACCAGGATGAGAATCGAGCCCGCAGCGATGTTCGTGGTCCGTTTGGTCGCTATCGGCAATTGCAGGAGCGTGAGGGTCTTCGATTCCGACTACTAACTCCAGATGATGCAGCACTCTCGGCATCATCATTGCACAGTCAGATTCAAACCAGAGGACCGCGACTCGTTTTTGACAGTATTACAAAATGCAGTAATGACCACCCGCACTGGCGCGACGCGATACAGGATGACGACGATGCATTCATAAACAATGACAACGAAGATGATACTCGTGATGAAGCAGTTCCAAAAACACTACCTCCTAGCTGGATCACGCAAGCTGCGTCAGCCTCTGAGGTCAAAGCCTCTGGGCCAGTACATGTAGGAATGCCACCGTCAACAACCTACCCAGGCAGCCATGCGGAAAAGGCTGGGAGTGTCGCTCTTCGACGATTCAAGCAGCAACAGCAACAACTCGAAACCCACCAGCGCGAATTGCAGCAGCTTACAGATCTGGCTATTGTGCACTACTTTGCATCCCGCGTCATGACTAACGATGCCGCAAGTCTAGCTAATCTGGAGATCGTATTTACGATAACGATTTCACAACACTGGCAGTACGCCTCTAACGGGGCAACGCATCTTGCAAGGTTGCTGTTGTCCATTGCAAAGAGCGGGAGAACTCAAGCCTCTTCTGTGGCTCGGAGCAATCCCGAGCGCGATCAGTTGATGCTTGCGATGGCAGAAGTATGCGTTTGGGCCTTCTCACCTGAGAACATCGAGTTAGTGCAAAGTTTGTTGGCTGCGTGTCACCCGTTGCTGCTTGAGAACGTCAACTCCCGCGGATCTGTAGTTGATGGAGCGGAACTCCGTGAGGCGTACTTGGATAGTGCTGGGCGTTGTTGGAGTGCTTTGGACCGATTCCTGCAGACGCCGAGGGCGACTCAGACAACGATCCGTAGCGTGCGTAGATTGAGCGATGCTGTTTTGGGCGTCGTCTACAGCGATCCAGAGCTGGAAGGACTACGCTCTGGATTGAGAAGCATGCTTCAACGACCCACGATAGTTCTCGAAGATAGCAAGGAGAATGTTCCTGCAGGTTCGGACGCTAATGACTCAGTTATCCCACGTTGCAATCTCGCAGGGTGGCAAAGCTTCGTGGCTCAAGTGCGAGAAGTCTATCTGGTGCGTTCTTTGAACAGCTTGTCGAAGTGCTGGTATTCATACAACTGTGTGTGTTGTGTGTACATGTATTGAAACATTAGAGAAACCAGTATTCGGGGAGTGGGCCCATGGAGGTGGCGAGCCAGTGGACAGCAGACTGGTTGCTACTGCCAGATAGCCTATCGGTCTCCCCTTACGTGGCACATTCGAGAAGCGATGACAATTTCATGCAAACAGGGGGGTTGTCAGACCAGGATGTACCTTCAATGTGGACATCGTGCCTAGCGCTATCGCAACTACTGCATCTGAAGCTTGCCGTCGCTGGAGATCCGGTGCATACTCTTTACGTGCGTATAGCACTAAGCTCAACGCACTTTAAAGTCCATTTGTTTGCCTAACCTAAAATTTATGCTGCGTCTTACGTAGATGCAAGCGGAGCCATCCGTGCTGTCTCGACATAACGCGTGGCTACGACTTATTTGCGATGGCCGGGTTCGAGTGGCTCCAGTTACTCCCAACGGCTTAACAAGCTTGCTGGGCGGCGCTTCTTGTGGCTTTGGGGGTGACTATGTAGCGTATCGTCTAGAGCAGCAAGAACCATCGAATTATTCAATTTGCTTGGAGTTTTACTGGTGGCCAGTTGGGAAAACCCCATCTGATCGAGTTATCGCATTCCGAAGCACCATGACATTGAAGACGACAACCAACGGCGCGTTCCTGGAAGTGCGTTTGAATCTGGAGCGAGGCATCGTGGACCACCAGACTGTCGTGGCGGCGGAGTTTCCTGAGCTGGAGCTTTGGTCACCAACTGAACGAGTTCAGGCCGTCGATATCTGGGAGCCCTGGCTCTCGATCGAGGGTGTTTACGCGAGGAAATGAGGAAGTTGAAGTGCAAAGCGCGACTACCAAAAGTGTTTTTATTTGTTGCTCACGGCTTCGCTATTGTCCAAGATATTGCCCACCGTGTTAACTGGAGCAAAGCTGGATCCATCACCGGTGGATGTCATAGCGTACGTATACATGTAGAAGTCGCGCTTCACGAATCAATGTGAAATCTCGAGAATAAAAAAAAACAAGTAGGGAGCGTACATATATGTCTGAACCTTTGGAGAAGAACTTGCGAACGAAGTATTGTCCTGGAGGAATGTTAGAAATAGCGCCTGTATTATGTGCTTGATTCAATTTGAATCGCTCAAATTGTAACAGAAAACGATTTTAGTGCACGGAACACTTCACTAAAACAAAAACACTGCACCATGTTCTACGATTTCGGTGTTCACTGTTAACGACGAGTTTACCCGCATCGGAACTATCGCCACAACAAGTGTTTCGTGGTTTCACAAGGACTGATCTGCAACAGGCTTCGATCGTATTCGATCGCGTTCTACGATATGCTTTTACGAATTCGATGCCATTCCGAGGCGCCCAACCTTTCAAGAGAGAGCACGAGAAAAAATTTCGTGAAGAAAAGTTTTCTATCAGGAGTCAGCACACGAGTCCAGACCAATTGTAGAATCTTTTTGAAAGGGTCTTGTAGTTTGCAGTTGACGTTGTAATTCACTTTCATGTGTTGTCAAGGATGTGAAGAGTATTGATTCGAGGCTGTACTTCCCTAACTTCTTACCGCTGTCTCTGCGTTGCGCAACGCACAGCTAGAAATCCTTGCGCTCCCTTGGAACCTGTAAGAACCAACTCCTCGACGCCACCAATTCAAAATCAAAAAGTAAACGATGTTTGCAAACCTCCCAAATTAGCTAAGCTGAAATAAACAGGGTATTTCCACTCAGAGTATGTCATCCAACTTCGACGTGTCTTTTGCACATCGCACATGTTATTCCGGGCCGTAGATTTCAACCTTATCAGCGAAATTTAACACTAACTTACAAACTCCACGTCAGAGGCCACTAAAAGACGACACCATTTTATTTCTACGACCCGCAATATCTGCTCCTTTACGATCTCATCAGCGCCGCTACCGTTCATCCAGCGGCCCCGACCGTCGTGTGGCCGCCTGCTTTCCTCGTCTCCATCGCTCTATTATAATTGTCTAGCCCTATGAGTGTTCCGTCCGGTGCGGCAGCTCCGGTGCCGTTCCAGTCCACGCCAGTGCAGCTACAGTCTCCCGTAGTCCCGCAGCTTGTATCGCCCAGCAACCCGGAGACCCTCGAACAGCTCTTGCAGAACTTTGTGCGCGTCTATGAGGAGCGGTTACTCGTGGACATTGCTGCCAATCTGTACCGTGAATTCTCACGCGGCGGTGGCATCCAGCACGAAGATATCGGCAAACTTCTGTCCCACTTTCCTCCCAAGGTCGTCGAAGGTGTATTCGCTCGCTATGACCAGGCAGGCCGCGGAGTCGTCGATGCGCGCGCCTTCCTAGCGCTCGTGCGGTACCTGAACTTTGGCAATGGCTTCTGTGACTCATGTTTCGCCCCCATTGGAGAGCACGAGCGCGGCTTCATGTGCTTGGAGTGCAGGGCTGGAGGATACATTCTCTGTGCCAGATGCTACCCGAGAGGAGTGAGTGGCGAGGTACACCCGCCCAATCACCGCTTCGTACCGGCCCAGGAAATGCTGGAGATGCTGGCGCCCCCGCCTGAAGACAGAGATCAACTGCCCAATGGCGTGGGCGTATTCCTACGCACTCACATCGCCACACTGTTCGCGCAGATGGACACGGATCGAGATGGTCGCATCACACAGGACGAGTTCCGTGCCTTCCAGAGAGCACAGGGCTGTGCAGACAGCTATATTGACTTCTTACTAAGTTTCAGAGGAAGTTTGGACGGCACGATCTCCAAGAAGGAGCTATTGTATCTCGTCACTGGTCAAAAGATGACAAGACAGTGCGACGAATGCTCTGCGCTCAAGTTTGTCGGCCAGGACCAGATCCTCTCGTGTCTTGAATGCATCTGCGATTACGACTGCTGTGTGGATTGCTGGCAGAGTGGCCGATGCCAGCACGAGCACGCCAAGTTTCGCATGTCTGAGCCATTCCAGTTGCGCTTTGCCGGACTGTGCTATCGCCACTCGCACGGCGAATTGTGGCTCCTCTCCGTGGGCAGCTACGAGCTCTGGGCACCCTATGAGCCTTTTCTCGGTGAAAAGCTACGAGTTTACGCAAGACTGGGTCCTCCTCAGGCATACGGCCACTATATGCTGCCCAAGTTCACACAACCACCGTCGGCAGCTTTCTTCGAGCGACACTACGGCGCTGCGACGACGACCAACAATGCAACCAGCAACAACGAACAATGCAACAATGGCGACATGTTTAACTCCAGCCTTGACATTTTCAATGAACAGATCCCGGACTTTACCCAAGACACAACGCAGCCGTTCGACTGGGCCGGTGCCACAGGTGAAGTGCTTTCGTGGTTTTACTAGATGCGAGACGTGAACAGTTTGGACCAAAAAAGTTCCCATTCCTGACAGCTTCGCCACGGACGTGGACGTATTATCAAGACGAAACTCGCCAGTCCAGAAGATATGCATACATTTATCAGTCCCCTTCAGTAATAAATACATGGATCTAGTTACGGTGTGGTGAGCTTGTATCGACATCGACCAGCTGGAGATCTGCAGTATTATACTGCGTAGTAATTGAAGTTGCCTTCATTCCGGTGAGACGGCGCTAAACTCGTCTTCAACATGCTCTGTTACGTTCCTCTAATCGAATGCCGAGACATCGGCAAGGCAACATTGAATTGCAGCTCGACGAAGAAGCGGGGATTGACTTTGTCAGCGTCGAGACTGTTGGTGGTTTTACCAGCTGCACAACTAGCCGCTGCAGCAAGAAGTTCGTCCTTCCGAGGACTCCGACGGGCGACGGCATGTATCCTGTGACAGCCAAAGCAACGCCCAGCAGCTGGTGGTTGGATACACGCCGCCGAAATGGCTCCAGCTTCTCTTCCAAGTCCCTTGCTCGAACAACAGTGAGCTTAGCTTAGAATTTACGTTAGGTGGCTCCGAAAACTGTAAACATGGCACTACTCTTGCTCGGCAACGGCAACTGCATCGTTGATCGTTATCCTGGACGGTGTTAGGGACTTCAACGGCTCTAGGCAAAACCTCGCTCAGGCTCCGGTCCCCCTCAGACTCCGTTCGATGTATCGCTTCTAGCCTTCTCTGCCTTCGATGTATCCTTCGAGGATTCATTGGAGTGCGCCCGTCGCCGGTGATAACTTGTCACTGCAGTGAATTGCATCGGTTGCATCGAGATCAGATTTCCAAAGATTCTGCGCGGATTCTTTCACGAAAACCACCATATCCACTGCATGGTGTGGACGCAATCGCAATGGCTTTAGCGCGTTGATGGCTTGGTGGGTGGCTTGCAAGCTGCACCGTCGGCTACAGTCCGTGGTGCCTGCATCATGAGATGCATGCGATTCGCATCATGGAGTGGATATTCCAGGCAAAACGTGAAATGATTGTCCCCCGTCAGCCACATCTGAGGGGATTTGTTACAGTAGCACGATTACGCGGCCGTTGGCCTCCTGAACAGTTTGGACTCTTCCAAGCCGCCATTCGCCGCTGTTATTCCAGGCTGGGATGCGTGGTGTTTCGCACGGCAACAGCGCTAACAGCTCCAGCGATCGTCTATCATAAATCCTAGCAAGGACACCAAAAGCATACATGTTGAAGGGGATAAGAAGTGACTTTGTCAGGTACATGTGCCGTATTTGTCTTTGTAAGGTGCCGTAACCGTAACCGTAAAGTTCAGCGAAGAGTCGACACTTACAGTTAATCGATAAAATCTACACCATCGCGAGAATCGCGCCATTGGTGTGAACACATCTTCGATCCTATTGTCCTCAACGCAGAGCAATGTGGTCGCCATTCCAGCGCTGAATGACAAGCAAGCAGCACTTCTTTTCGCCGAGCGACTCCCGCGGGGCGGAAGCAGTCCGCCAAAAAGCAGAAAAGTGCATCATTCCACCCAGTAGAAAAGTGGCAGGTAGTAATTTGGGAAATCGCCGCTTAAAACCTGTCCAAGTCGATAAACGATTATCAAAGACGGTGCTAGAATCCCAAACAAACGTTTTACGCATACCTAAAACATCTCAAATTGGGCGTGCGACAGCCTATGTCCTATGGATTACTCTTTCGATACAGTTCACGATTCGCCCAAAGCGGTCAGTTCCAAAAGTAACTTGCAGCGCTCAGACCACATCGCTACTGGCGTGTGTGGCTTTGCAAACTCAAAGCCACACTCGACCGTCCGTCCCGAGGGGTTTACGCCAACGTCGTGGCGACGTAGCGCAGTCGACAGCATGCCGAACGTCGAGGACTCGGACGTTCCGCTCCTCCAGAGCAACTCGCGCCGCCAGCGCGCACCACTCGCCAAGAGCGACCGTAAGTGGCAAAGAGTTTTGCCGTTGAATCCTAACCAAACCGTGACTAATACCGTGCCTTTGGCAGTGCCGATGATGAACGATATGGACGAGTACATTTGCTACGGCGACCGCGTCGCCTTCCTGTGCGAGGGGCAGCTCTTAGCGCTCACCCGCAAATTCAACTTGACGTACCAGCAGATGGCGCTGTTGGCCGCCTCAACACTCGCCACGGGCGGACTCATGGGCATCGCCGGCTTCTTCGTGTGGCGTAAGGGACTTTTCCGTAAACGATACGCCGCTCTCTTCGGCGACGAGATCTACAATGAGGACGATCTCATCGGTCCCGAGGACCAATCGACTGTGACACTAGATAACGTCCCTCTATTAGGTGGAGAACGGGACATTCGAAGCAAAACGCAGTCGACTATAACCTCCAGTCGCATCACCACAACCAGCGGCGTGGCTGGAGAGCCCGACGCACCTGTCGGAGGGTCCAAAGCTGCTCACGGGTCTGTGGCCTTTAGACTGTTTGAGTTCGACCCAAAGAAGCAGCAACTTGTCTTCTCCAGTGTCGGTCTGCCTGTTAAATTCGGGACGCCACTGGTTGTAGTCCACGCGGAAACAGGACGCGCTATCAGATACTTGACACACAGAGGAGCAGTGACGATTAGTAAACCGCCTGTGAACTTGGCTTTCCATCGACAAGTACGAGCCAGTCTGTTTGCAATGGAAGAATCGGCAGTGCATCTCAACTCCATCAAGAGATCGAGACCACAGTCAGCACTCGTCTCGTCCAGTAATACCAGTAACAATAACGGAGAGGCAGGAGGAGTATTGAGAGCGACGGTGGCTGATCCAACGAGTAGGGACGACGACGCAGAAGCAGAACAGAGCGAACAAGCCGCGATGTCTACTGGCCAAGGGGATTTTATGGTGGATTTGGTGGACCAGAGTCAGAATCAGGGCCAAAGTCAACGACAAGTGCAGGTGCTGACCAGCTACCCAAGAGGAAGGAAGCTTCAAAACCTCAGCAATGTGCCGACCAACAAACAACGTCCTCGGAGTCGCATGCAGCAGCAGTCGGCGCGATCGATGCAGTACAGCGCTCAGCGTCGCAGCTTGGACTTATCCAGCTCGTCGGCTGCGGCCTTCCGGGCTGCAATCAGTGATCCTCGGACACAACAACCGACTCGCTCTTACGGTGACGACGCTATCGGAGCGACGGTCGTCAACATCACAGACACAACCAACACATCGTCAGGTCGTGGTCGTGGTCGTGCTGCGAGTTCCTCGGCGTCGGCTATTCAAGGCTCGGGGTCCAATGCCTTCTATCGATCCATCTCGGAGTCCTACATGAACATGGTCTCCGATATCACAGACACTCTACAGCAGACACGTGACCGTCAACGTGACCGTCAGGAGTTGAGACGACGACAAAAAGTTCTGATGAAAGACCTACCCAACATGTCGTTCAATAACCCACTGGGTAAGTACTATGTGGCCACAGTTGAGCCAGTCCGTCATCAAACGACTGGTAGCAACTACCGCCTTCCAGTGGCTCCAAGTGACGAGTATCTACGCTGGGGACAGCCCATGTCAGTCGTAGCCAAGTTTAACGGCCGTGCGTGTGGGATTCGGCCACGAGAATACTACAAGGACAGCGATCTGTACTTGACGACAGAGGCGACACCAACGACTATTGTGCCGTTGCGTGAAGACGGCGATCTCAAGTGCATGGCAAAGGAGTCCACGCGGTTCCTCGCACATCTCGAGAAACGCCAGGTGAGCGTCAGTGTGGGGACGTACAACGTCTGGATGATGCCGCGCAAGGTGAGCGCGTTCACGAGTTGTTCTCCTAAGAAGAACACTCGTGCGCGGTTGATCGGCGATCTCTTGCCTCCTTGTGACATCTGGGTCTTGACCGAGTGCTTCGACTATCGAGCGCGTGATATCCTGCTGGACAAGATGACGGAAGCTGGTTATTTCTTCTTCTCGCCGACGGTGGGTCACAAACGCGTCAACAAGACAAACATGCGGAAACTGCTCAATGGAGGTGTGCTACTGGCCAGTAAATACCCGATTCTCAGCGTCCGAGTGAAGCTGTTCGAAGGTGCTTGCGCTGGTGCCGACAAGCTGGCAGACAAGGGAGTACTGTACTGCAAGATCTTGAAGGACGGACTGTTGGCTCACGTCTTCTCGACTCATTTGCAAGCATGGAATGACCCGCTTTCAAGGACCATGAGGAAGTTGCAGATGGATATGATTGCAAACTTTATGCGGGCTATGGACATTGACGAGGTGAACGACGTCGTGTTGTTTGTGGGAGACTTGAACGTTGACTACTGGCTGAACAAGACGAACAAGGAGTACGATGAGATGCTCAACATCTTTGGAGCCACAGACCCATCCGTTGTGCAGCCTCGTAAACTCGGTAAAGCATCCGATTCCGATAAGAAGGAGTCGGCCGCGGAGTTCAAACACCTGCGCAAGTACAGCTTCGACCCGCGGGTGAACGCTTTGGCGGCCGACGGGTTGAGCACGGACGGTAGTCTGGAGTTGTTGGACTACATTCTCTACTCACGCACACACCGCCAGCCGAAGACTGCGTCGAGCTGGGTCCAGCCACTGACCACATCGCAGCCTTGGATGTGGCGCAATCAACCGCAGTACAATCTGTCAGACCACTTCCCGGTTGTGAGCGAGTTCACTTTCGAGATGTAAGATGAAAGGCGTGAGGAGATGAGTGGGTGCGTTGATCGAGAACGCTTCTGGTTTCAGGAATCTTTAGGCGGGATAGTCGTGATGATGGTCCCGGGATGACCAGTGTGATTGTTATTTTTGCTTGTTGTATGTTTTCGCTATTTTATCGCAAGTACATTATGGGAATTCAAAGTAAATTTTGAACTAGTCAACTTGGAGTGTTTTTTCGTTGCCATGCTCCAAATGAAGTTGTTGCTGCCAGTGTAACACTCCACGATCAATATTGTTGATGTAAGCAACAACTTCGACAGTTTTTGTTGATTCAACAGTCTGGTACTGTAATACCACGCAGTGGTTGTCCTTGAAATGGACAAGACGATTGTTGTTGAGGTGGTAAACTATTCTCAAAGCACTAACAGCGACTACATGCACTCAACACAGCTCAGCTGGTCGATTAACTCTACGCGTTTCAGATTGCTCAATGATGTCAGCGGCTGCCACCAACATGGCCCGGATGATGGTCACCAAGAAACGGATTTTCCATCGGTCTCTCCTCTTCCGTGCTCTATATGCAGCACTCGAAGCTTTGTCGCGCGTGCCGTCGGAAGTGATTGCGCCTTAGAGCGTTTTATGAGCGAAAATTCTTGACAGCCTTTCCAGCAGGTTTGCAAGGTGGGGCGGACCAAAGTGGCTGAACCATCCACGACCCGATATCACTCTCGAGTGAGTACATGTAGTGATCTGATGCCACCAACTTCATCTGAATGCGTGCTGGCCTTATTCGCCTCGACCCTTTTGAGGCACCGTGCACCACTGTGTCTTTCCGCTGGAGCACCCGTTACTGTCGAGACGGATCTATTCATGCAAACTGAGCGAGTCGGAGACATCCAGCAGAGCTCGATCGAGCGAAGTTCCGTACAAAGGTTATTGCTTGGTCGGCATTGCGGTCGACAAATTCGTCCAGACTCTGAAGCGTAAGTAAGGCGTGCTTGATCTCTTTGCAGCAAAAATATGTTTCAGAGGCGGGCGGCAAACCAGCTTTTCGTGTTGTAAACCGTTGGGGGGACCTCAAGAGGTTGACGGATGTGCTTCTTTGCAGCAAGTCGATATTGCTCGCAGTGGTTCCTGCACATGTAGTGAGCTTGCTCGTAGGACTATAAAAGCAGATAATTCGCCCGCTGACGTGCCCTCAATCTACAGGAGTGTCAAGTACTCATGAGTTGAGTCAGGTTAACTCCACCGGAACGTCGCGGTGAAGTGTCGGAGCGTCAGACTACATGTATAGTAGTCCAATTCGATTGAGACGAAACAGTTCTGGAATTTGCTGCACGATTCTATCAGATTGACGCTGGAGCTTCGGAGCCCCGGCACGATTTTCGCCAGCAGAGGTTGTTCCTACCTACCAGATGCCATGAACTCAATGATCAAGGCGAAATGGTAACGTTGCTGCCATACACGTACCGCCGAGAGTGGAAAACAACATCAGGCTAAAAAATTGCTCAATCTGCACTGTGAAATTGTCAGTTCGGGGGATGAGATGCACCCTAGGTGTCAAAAACCTGTCATATTTGGATATGAGCATTTCACGAATAACGACAAGTGAAATTACAGTTCTTTATACGGTGTAATTACCCTTCAATAACAAATCTTACTTAACAGTTAAAATCACCAGGTGTTATTTACGCGTCAAGTCGTAACTGCGATTTGGCGTTTTGTGAAGACTGACAGCAGTGGTCCAAGCAAGTTGCTGTGAATTTTTGGTGCATAACGAGGGATCAGGTTGCTGTATGGCGTCGTCCCATCAATAGGCAACTCTGGACCGCGTCCGCGACGTGCCTCTGCCTCCGTCACAACCAAAAAAGCCGTCACGCTGCCACTGCGCAATCTCGTGGAAATCAAGCGCTGGGAAGTGGCATCAATTGTTGTTGCCTTTTCCAGTCACTCACCGTAACTACAAGAAAAATAACCGCGCTTTAGGTGGGGCAGCTCCGTTCTAAACATGAGCAGCAGTCCCCGTCACTTTCGTCGCTCTCGGATAGAGCGCGCCAGCAGCGCCGACCTGGCCTCCTCCTCGTCGTCGTCGCTGTTCCGGCGCTTCCAGGCCAAGAAAACCAGCAAGACGCCGACCGAGTCACTCGCCGCTTCACAGCCGCCTCCGCGTCATTCGCACCGCCGGATCCTCTCCAGAGAGCGCAAACGTCCCATGGTGATCTACTACTCCAGCAACCCGGCTAATATTGTCAACTTCGATGATTCCAAGCTCACTTCAACCGTTCGCAGTACCGATACCACGGTGTACACGGATGGTGAAATGTCCGAAGACGATTGCGATGATCGATTCGACGGCGATACGAAATTGCCAGACTTTGCCGCCAGCATGGGCCCGAGAGACACCTTGGCTCGCAGTCGCGGACCGGGGAGGGCACTCATGCGCATGTCCCAAACCTTCAGCCGCGCCTCCGAGAGGATAGACACTCACTCCAATGGAGAAGGACGTCACCGCCGCGCGGCTCGTCAAAGTGCCAAGTACGACGTGGCCTGGCGACAGGACGACGAGAGTGAATGTTGCCAAGTCTGTTTTGCCATGTTCACGAAACTTTCCCGTCGTCGCCACCACTGTCGCGTGTGTGGCGAGCTGGTGTGTGGCGCCTGTTCGCAAGACCAGGTTTCCCTCACCGAGAAGTTTTCCACTCCACGCCGCGCCTGCGTTGCCTGTTGCAGTTTGCTGCAAGCCATGGCACGAGCTGGCGACGACCGTGTCAAAGTCGTCGAGTCCGACGTGGCCACGGCAACTCCCACCAGACGCCACCACAAATCGGCACCTGCGGCTCCAACTTGCCACTCACCAGCCAGCGCCTCGATGCCTGCGCCCGCGGCAACTCCTCGCTACCGTGACCGACTCACGGAAGTGCACCGAGTCATGGCTGCCGGCAAATTGTCACGTCGTCGTGGCAGCTCCGACAAGAAAATGTACGTGATTTCCAGTCGCTGGCTGCGTAGCTGGCTGGCATTCACATCGTCAGCTTCGAGCTCCAACTCCAGGCGCAACTTGGATTACGGATTTGACACGGAAACCTCAATCTCGTCCCCTACGAACGACGATGTTGCCAGCGTGGGGCGTGCCCCCGGTCCAATTGATAATTTGTCACTTTTGGAACTGTCGCGTGGCAAACTCATTCGTCGTCCCGGTCTCATCCGTGACGAGGTGCTTGCTGGTGATGCGGCCACTGCCGGTGAAGACGCGGATTTCCAGTTGCTCTCCCCTGAAGTCTGGGAAGTTTTCCAACGTCTTTACGGCGGCGCACCTGCCATTTACGTCAACTTGACGAGTGCCGATCCGTCGGCTTGGATTGTTGATGTGTCTGGCTTGTTGGCAGCTGGCACCACTGCCAATGGCACGAAGGTACAGGTGCTTCCTACGGTTGAACGCGCTTTGACGACCCGCCACCACAGTGAGAACGATTTTATCGACCCACGAGCTGCCAGAACTCCCACAGAGTCGGGTGTGTACACGCCTGGGAGCAGTCGATCGACCAAGCAGCAAACGCCAAAGAGTCCGGCGTGGACTGTCACGAGCAGCAGCAGTAGCAGCTCTTTGAGCGAAGAGAAAGACCGTGTCCACACTCCCACTGGCAGTGGCAAAATGCAACTCGAGGACTTGGAGTCTGACGTTGCCACTTTGTCAATCGGAGTGAATAAGACCCCGACCGAGAGTGAAGATGATATGAGGGCCACGACGTCCGTACGTAGCCCTACCGCTGCTTTGGCCGCGTCAGCGTTCGCTGTCGCCATGAAGCAGGCGAGACTGAACGCCCAGAAGGCCATTGATGATCGCGCCTCGCGTGTCATCGCAGCTTAAGCAACTTCAAGCTTACTACTCCACAGCAACAAAAAGCAGTATTAAACTCAGCACCGATCGGGAAGTAGATCTACGCAAAAAGTAGACTAGAACATCGATTCGGTGCACCTTTATCTATAAACACGACATGCATTGCAACAAACATTCCGTTCCATTTTCAATCATCCTAGTGAAAAAAAAACTTTCGCTGGACGTTTTCGGCTACGTCAACTATTCTTGACCTATAGACTTCACATTATTGGTGTCGACTTGCAATGGTGCTTCTCCGAGCTCGTCGTAACAAACTGGCATCAGGTTTACGGCCTGGTGATAGTGAAGATGGTTCGGGGGCCCGATACGAAGCTCAGGTTCGCGAGAATCGACGTCGTGGAGCACTTTACGCCTTGAGTTCATCCAACGGCAAACGACTTCCGAGTGTCAGTCTTCAACCTACCGATGCTCGAGTGCGACGCGATCTGTTGAGACTCACACAACTGGAAGACAAAAGAGTGGAGAGCGAGAAGAGAAGCGTCTACGAGGACGAGCAAAACGACTGTAAACATCGCGAACATCTCAACTATCGACCGCCTATGGATCAGATCCACAAATTGCGTGATCTGCATACGACTGTAGCGAAAGATTGTCGAGACCGCGTGAAGCTTAGTGCTGATCAGCGGATATTCGCCAAGATCAACCAGAAACTTGGGTCAAAACAGGATGAGAGCACGAAACCAGAATGGCGTCTAGGATACAGCAACAACGTTGACACAGGCTCGCGAGCTGGCGTCGGAGGCATTTTTGAACCTCGTGATGGAACTCGGGAGCGAATTCTCGACACGCGAAGGGCTACTATGTTGTTACCGGACTCTGTTGTAGTAGCCTATCCTCTAAACAAGTCTGACAACCAGGATGAGGCAAAGGAGAATCATCTTGTTGATAGTCCGTGTTATCATCGAGTAGTCAAGAAAAAACCGTGGTGTCCAGCTTCCTCTTCGAAGTCAGCGAGCTCAGCAAGCCCTCGACGTCGCTATCCTGTAGAACGCTTTACACCATCCGGTTTAGAAGAGAGTGGTGATTTGAATTCCTACGATCACGACGGACTCCAGCGTTTTCCAATACGCTACGTGGAATCTTTTGAACCGATTGAGGCTGACGCAGATTTCGTCGTCGATCCACGATGTGCAGACAAGCAACAGACATTATTAACCAAAGTTGCAGAGACGTATTCTCGGGTTCGAGCACGTTTAGATCGCTTAAAAGAGCCTCACCTGCGGTATCAACTACCAGTCGAGGACGCAGCGCAGTATCATCGAGCCTATCGACTTGGCCTAGATGATGTGCCCTCCACTGCTTCGACCAAACCGAAGAAGGGTAAACAGAAGCTGAACTTCCGCCCAAAATCTGCTGGTGCTAGCGTGGGCTTCCAAACTATAAGTCTAACTCCAAAACCCGGTGGTTTCCTCACTCCGGAACTGAACGGAGGTGGGAAGGTAGCTGGAGCTCGACGGAGACCTCATTCGGCTAACATCAAATTCCTCAAGCATTCAACTGTGTATTGTATGGAACCACCAACGCCGGCTTATATCTCCTCGGCCACCGATTTTCGGAGTGTGGTCGACGTTGAATGTCAGAAACGGCAACGTGAGCGTGATGCCATTCTGCAAAAACTTGCTAAACGTGGGCTGCTCCATTCCATTCCGTTAGCTCAAGTTTTCGCCAGGTTACGACGCGAAGGACTCTTGAACATCGATCGACGAATCCAAAGAAGCGTTTTTGAGCGAATGACGTTGGATGAATACATGAGCGCCTGTGGTTGTCTTAATAGTACCACAGATCAAATGCCGAGCGTGACTTCGGATTCGAAACAACCGACAGAAGCACCAGGTTCGTCCCTGATCAAAGAAACCAGGCGATTCCAGAAAAATACTCAAGTGACGAATTCCGGATCAATTCCGACGTTCGATATGTCGCCGTCGTTGATAGCTACGCGCAAGACTCTTATGGTATCAAGACAGCAGTTCCATCTTGCACTCGAACCTTTCAACTTGTCTCCGACAGATGTAAATTTGCTCTTCTCGGCGTTGGATCTAACTGTGAGCGACGTTGTGCAGGTTTGGGACGCTATGTGCACCGTGGAAATGCTGCAACACGAGCACACAGCGATACGTCGTGCTCGAGTACAACAATTACAAGCCCCGCCTGCAAAAGACTTGGAATTTTTTCGGCGACTTAACAAATAGAATCATGCGAAACATCACTTTTTTGTTATTTTGCATTACGTTCCCCGTCGCCTACCTGGGAAGAGAATGGCAGCACGCATTGCGGCCTGTAAATGCTGCTCTGTTTCCGATAGGTCAAGAGGATTCATAAAAACCTGATTGAACATCGACTTTCGTTGTCGTGGCTAATTCCAAGTGCTGCTCGTCGCAATGAAACGCCACTGCGAAAGATTAAGTAAGACCTACTGCAATGAGAGGTCCAAGCGACTGGCCCGAATGAAGATGCCATGGTTGGGTGCACAACTGAAGTATTTTTCGCCATCGACGGTGCCGCTGTTCTTGCCTTTTGGCTCGCAAAGCTCAATGCCCACCCACGTACCAGTCGCGAATCTTGTGGTGCCGATGTAGCGGACTACACCAGGCACATTGCCGACGTTGATAAACTTGCCAACACACAATGGAGCACCGTTGATATACACGACGTTACTGCCTGAATGACGGCGGGCTGTTGCTCGGGTCGGTGCTCCTCGAATCGAAGGACTGTCAGTTGTATCGGTAGTTGGAGTCGTGACCTGTACGCCGTGCATATCTCCAGTCTTAGGAAGATAGACATCGGTAAGGGAGTGGAGTGACTCGCTCCGAGCACGACTGACTAGAGGAGGGTCCACACTTGCCAGTAGAGAAGGTTGCAGACTCATTTGGGCTTCTGGTTGCTGTCTTTGCGCACGTTTCCGCTGTTGTTGTAGAAGCATCTCGTGTCGGTATAAGGTATTTATCGGGAGTGACCGGCGTCTTGGTCCTGCTGCTGCAGCTAGTCGCTCACGTTCGGCCTTGGTGGCTACTTCCAGTGCCTGGTCACGTGAGGTAGAACGTTGATACGGGATTGGAACTGGGAGATTTTGGGGATCGAAGAGGATAATCCCCTCTCCTTTCGTTGGAGACGGCCGTGGACAGAATACTACTGGACTGGGAATGCTGCTGTTTGGACTGCTTTCGCTATTTCTCCGTGGAGTGCGCTCGTTAGGTGAGTTGCTTCCAGTACTGCTGTTGCTTGCTCGAGCTTTAGCCTCGTGCCACAGAGACTGGATGCGATCAAGAGGATTGCTGAGGTTTATTGTCGGTTTGCTCAATCGACGGAGCTTCAGGTGGAGTTTGGGTGGAGAAGACGCTGGACTTTTAGTCTCTGGTTGCTCGTTCTCCTGGTTGGAAGCAGTACTAGGTGGAGGTGAGCTCTCCTTCGTAGACTTGAGAGCACTCTCCATGTCCTGAATGAGCTCATTGTACGCCAATACGTCACTGGCGCACGTACTAGCATGGCGACTGTAGATTGAGACCCCCGAGCGACTTGTAAGGTCCGAGAAGTCGTTAGAAAAGTCCAATCCCATACTTGTCGGATGCGTGAAGCCGTCCGAGTCTCTCGACTCGGGAGCTTCGTCCGAAATGCCGAAATAGTATAAATCCCAGAGCTGTTTGTCCATCAACTGCTCCTGGTCACCGCCGGGACGTAAACCGAAAGATCCCGTGGGTGGTTTTGGTGCTAGTGGAGGACTACCAACATACTTGGCTTTGGGCGGTGTGCTCTCTCCTTGCGTTGGAATGTACATCGTGACTCCTCCACTTCTTGATACGATAACCTTGTTCGAGTAACTCTCGACCTGTTGAGGCACATCGTCACGTTGATCGAGCCAAGGGACAGCTCGAGAGAATTCCACAAGATCGCGGGGCTCAAAACGAGCCTTGCGCATGCGATCTATCACCTCAGCGTTGGACTGACCCGTACCATCTGCGTCGTTGTCTTGCAGCACGACGCCAGAGCTTCTAACGCTCACAAGATCGCTCTTGCTGGAATATCGCTGCAAATGTGCCGGAACGGGCACAAACTCGAGCGAAATCTGCAGCAGACCGGCGTCATTTCCAGCCAGTGGAAGCCAATGAGGACTCAGGCGAATCACCTTCAATTCACTGCCATCGGTCGCGTCTTCCTCGAATGCACAAGCTTTAGACGAAAGCAGTAGATCCTCCAACGCCACACTAGCTGAGCCCATAATGCGCTCGCCACAGACCACGTCGATCTCCAGCTTACATTCACTGGCCTCGACTCCGACGCTGGGTCTGTCGCCTGCTGCTACGTCTGGCTGGCCCAACGCCCATGCAAAATGCCCTCCTAGCCCGTCGCGAGCCCTGTCGTGTTCCTGACGCCACACCGGGTTGCTCCTGTTCCCTGATGTATTGCATGGCGACTGCTGTACGGCTCCTAGCAATGTGCACCGTACACGCAGTCCATGTTCATCGTAGACGGCGTCCGTCATTGGCCATGGCGCGTTCAGCTGTCGAGCTTCGTACACCCAAACGTGCAGCTCTCCTTCAGGCACGCTGTCACTCAGGCGATCCACCGGTTCGTCCACCGTCGACATGACCATGATCGGCTCCTGGGTTGTGGCACAGGACGTGCGGTTACTCTCAAGTATGGGCAGGTCGTCGTCTTCGTAGACTGGAGAATCTTCATTTTCGTTTGACGAGGCGTTGTGCAGATCTCTCGACCGCAATTTGGCCGCCAGTTCGTGCGCCAGCTTGGCTTCCACATCATTAGCCTTCGCTCTCTGTTGCACCTTGGAGTCCGGTGGACGGTTGGCCTCTGCGAGGGCCGCCTCAGGCTCCTCGTCGTTGTTGCTGACCAGCATGTGGCTTTCGCACAGCAAACTCGGTAGTGAGCCATTGCGCCAGCGCCGTCGCCATCGTTTCCGGAAGTTACTTCTGCGAAGAATTAGCCTGCAGACAGGATCTGCACAGGATCAGGAAGAATAGCGAGACCCGTCGTTTCGCCACGATGGAATATACTTGATCGCTGATATCGATTGAAGCAGTACCCCTGGCTGGCAGTTTTCCACTTCAACATGGCTCATGTCTATGCTGCAGTGCAGAAAATCGCGTTGGCAAAATTGGCAAAAACGCAGCGACGTTGAGCGGCATGGAAGTCTCCGAAACCAGCAAATTCGCGATGCAAATATGTGTGTGACCTCTTCTGTAGAGGGCGCGGTGACGGCATGGACGAAGATAACGGCTGCATGGGATCGGCGGCAATGGCAGAGTGGCCGTCCAGCGAAGCATGGGGCCCTACTTGATCGGCTCGCTTGCGTGTCGCGAGTCGCGACAGAACCAACTGAGATGGCGTGGAGCGCTCTCTGATCACTTGTTGTTCGATGTATCTTTCCAGTGTTAGTGAAAGCCGGAGCGTGATAAGCGAAGTTGGATCTCAAAGCGGACTCCACTCAACATTGCTTCTCTAGATTTATCAGTTCGACGCTAGCTAGCTGTAGTCCATGTACTGCAGAGACTGAAGTTGAATTCTTCCGCTGTGAATGAGCAGCGCGATCTTTTGATGAGTTTAACTGAATGACCTCTAGCGTACGAGAAAAAAATCGTGCTGTTGTTCTGAACCCTGGAAACCAGTAAGTAGTTGGCGATTTCAACGTTCGTGGATCGAAACCCCTTTGCGTAAGGCGCGTGCAGCGGGATGCTGTGCACGTTGACACTGAAAGTGCTGCTAGACTAGGCTCGTGAAAGTTGCTTCTCTGAGAGAAGTCCTCTCTGAGCCCTCATCGATCCACTTGGATATGATCTTCAAGGCGTTGCAGCTACGTAACGGAAAAGCACTCTCGCTGACGACCACTAGGTACACTGGCCTGTGTTCCACGCGCATTCCGGCGTCTTATTCAGCGACAGCAGTGCTCAGAGTAGTGCCGTGGTAAGTTACCACTGGTAACTGTCTCCAATAGTAGACGGCCAAACCAACAAGGCGGCAAGTGAGCGATGCAGCATTTGCACCGATGGTGGATCGATCGGCAAAATGCCAGCAATAGCCACGGTCAAAGATGTTCCGCAAAAGATACTTTAGATACTATTTGGCTTCCGTCTCCTCGCCTTGTCTGCTCTGATTACGCCCCGTATCTAAGTGTCTTCAAAGTCACGGAAGCAATCGCGAGGATTACGGGCAGGCTAATGGCATGAACTGTAACTGAAACTGTAACGAAACGATAAACGATGAAATGGAGCGGAAAAATGTATTCGGCCGAAATGTACTGAACACTCGCCTTTCACAACTCGAATAGATTATGGCTCAACAGAAATGGAGGCTTCTGCACAAGCCGAAGAGGGCGTGTCCATAACGATCTTGCAGGCTTCGATTGACAGCGTGTGGAACAACAGACAAGTCGGGATCGCGCTGCTGACCCAGCCTGGGTCGCAGTACACGATCACTCCGACTCGTCTTCGCTGATCAGCTGTGGTCTTGTGACACAATTTGCCACACCAGCGATACAGTAATGCTGAGCTCGCTGGTAACAGCAAGAAAAGTGTATACGAACACGATGGACAGGCTTAACAAATATCTGCTTTACGGGCTTCAAAACTCCCTATACTATCGAGCTGCACGGAAGCAGCCTCATACCAAATTCGACGGCGGGTTTGAGCGCGGTGCTCCAACCGATATGGTAGCCGTCGTGTTATTCTCAATTGCACGAAAATCTTCCAAGATACGCAGGAGATCCTGCTGCACTTGTGTACTGCTAGGTCTGTACTTGGGCTTGTAGCTGGTGCACGCGTTCACAAGCTTCACGATGCTCTTCGGACACGCGGGAGACAGCGTAGGTGACAGTGCGCCTCTGGCAATGAGCTGTAGGATGTCCGTCTCGGGCACAGCAGACCGGTTCGCCTGCATCAGATCCGAGAACGGTAGCTCATGCGAATCCATCTCGGCGATTAGGATTCCAAACGAGTACACGTCGCTCGCGTCCGGGTACGAAGCGCTAGTCTCGCGGCCTAGAAGAGCTTCTGGTGAGATCCAACGACCAGAGCCCACTGCGCTGTACGACATAAGCTCCTGCTCGGTAAGACCATCAGCTCGACTGTCCACGCCAAAATCGCTCAGTTTGGCACGCAGCGATCGGTCCAACAACACGTTCCGAGAGTTGCAATTTCCGTGCACTAGACGTGGCTGCATGGAGTGAAGGTATAGCAACGCTCTGCTCACGTCCAGCAACATTTGAACTTTGAGTACTGTCCATTTGCCACTTTGCTGTCTCGCTGTACGATGAAGCCACTGTCGAAGATCACCTTGAGCCATATACTCCGTAATAGCGACCAGGTTCGTTTCGCGCGACCAGGCCACTCCAAGGAAAGCCACGACTTGCGGATGTGAAAATACAGCTTGACGCTTCAACTCGCTCTTGAGTTTATCACTCGCGCCTCCACCGCCATTGCCACTTGCAGACGAACGCGGTCCCTGGTCTTCCTTAGGGACCAAAAACTTTGCCACCACCAAAGTATCAGTAGTGCCTCCCCCAGGTGACACTGCCACGGCTGATCCCTTTGCTGGTGCTAAAGACGCCAGCCAAATCTCTCGAGGATTCATAGCACTCGTCACGCTTTGCTTGCGCAGCGTCTGGCGCTTCTCTGAAGGCAACAAGTTGAGGCATTTAAGCATTTTCAAGCGCTGGAAGTCCAACCGCCATGGCTGCAGCTCCTCGTCCACCCAGAACCCAGCGTTATTGCTGGAGAATGGTTGTTTGTCCTGCTTTCGATGTACCCGGGGCGAGGGGCTTGCAGGTGGAGAAGTGGTCGACTCATTCGCTGTCGGGCGGTCCCGTTCACTGTCGTTTGCCGTACCAATGTCGGGTTTCTTGCTTTCTTTGGGACTCCGGTTGTAGGTCCGCATGAAGAAGATATAGAGAGCCACCTTGTACAAGAAGTAGATGAATGGCAAGCCCATACTGAGCAGGACGAGTGTCGGCGTGTGATGGTCGTCATCGGACGAAGAACTCGACCCATCCGTCTCGTCGCTAGTGTCTTCTACCTGGGTTCCACCCGAGCCAAAGCCTACTGATGTTTGGAGGCGTCGAGCCACAGCAATTTCGTCGGGGACAACGCACATCTGCCAGCCATTTAATTCCCCTATGCGGCCTCCTCGGTCGTTCGTGCACTCTTTCGTCTGCATTTCGTCCAACTCCGTCTCAATAGCTGGCTCCTCCGTAAGTCGAGAGCTTAGCAGCTTAAACTGTCGTTCACTGAGCTCCATCAGCATTTGCCTTTCACCTGTCAGCGTGTTGTTCGCGAGCACCAGTGTCTCGAGTCTGGGCAGCGACAGTAGCCACGCAACGGGAAGCCTGTTCAGCACGCAGTCCACAATCTGCACCTGTGTGAGTGAGCTAGGTAAAGCCGGAAGCGAGGTGTTGGTTAAGTCCAGGCCAATAAATAGCAGCGCGGTCAGGTGCTCGCCCTTCCAGCGGCTGGCGACGTCGAATGTCATGCGCGTCTTGTTCCCGTGCAGCTCCAGCTTCCGCACCCAGGGCGAGAGCGCCACAGCGCCGAAATGGTAGCTCGTCGAGTCCTCCAGCGCTACGCGCCACTCGTCTGCGGCTGCGGTTTGGGTCAGTGCCACGCACTCGCCGTCCTGTGGTGATGCGAGGCATAACGCGGTGCCGGACGCGCAGCGTGCGGGGCAGTTGCCGCTTGTGGTCCATTCGTGAGCGCTGGAAGAACAGGAAGAGAGCAGCGTCGCCATGACAAGGAGACTCGCCCGCCTCCGCCGCCTCCGATGCATGGTGATGATGGAGACGCAGCCTGCGTAGGTTACTTATGGCGAGGTGGGCCTGGCCCAGGGGCCTGACGGAGCTGAGGACCAGTTCAGAACTCCAACATATGGCGACCATGAGAGTAGCGACTAGCGCTTTCTTTGTCATGCAGAAGTAAGGCGAGCTACTATGCTCTCTCTCATATCACTGTACATGTGATGCTGTAAGCTTCAACGGTTTATGAATTCATATAGGTATTTAAGCTGAGACTGAAAGAAATCTCGACATTAATTCGAGTCAGCTATAAAATTTTGCGTTTCGGAGACAGCAGACGACGATACACGATGCCTGATGGACATTTCCGTCTCGATGGAGCTTTAAAGCAGCATGGTTACGTAGGTACACTGTAGACGCAGTCTGTCTATAGATTCTATCTAGTGCCCAAGCCAGCCTGACCACAACAGAGGTTTACTCACCTGATCTGGGATCAAGTTCGGGCCGGACGGCATTTGGCGCGAATTCGCCGCTCTGGAATGCAGGGCATAGGGAGCTCGTCGCGACGTCCTGACACTGGGGTGACACCGAGGTGATTGCGCCTTCTTCAAAGATTGGTCCACCGTGCAAGTCGAACGACTCGTTCAACGAGCCCTTCTGTGGTTCCAGCTGGGCGGGGCAAGGTTCTCCAGCCTTGAGTCCAGGCTGGACTCCAGGTGCGGCGCGAATAGCTCGTGAAAAACTCGGGAGTTGGCAGCGAAAAAGCCTTTAGCCTGCAACTGTTAGTGCAAGTGCGGAGAATGTAACCTTTGTAGACGAGGAAGCGGCACGCCAGGATAGCGTGGATGGCACACAGGCAGAGGAAGCATAAATGATAGAGTAGCATGCATGTGCGTTTACTGAAAACCTTTGGCGCCTACAGCCACCTAAAACAAATCCACATTTTGTCCATATTATCGTTATTAGTGCGCAGCTCTGGTGCTGTGTGGAGGTGTACGTGGCTATAAACGGGTAGAACATGCAGTTTGACTGATCGAGCAAGGGCAGACGTTTAGAGCCCCAGCGGTTCCGCCTCGACTTCTTCTTCGCTCTTGACTTCACCACCTTTGGCAGCGAGTTGAGGCGGCTCATGGTCGTCGCATTGAGCAACCCACTTGCTCTTCACCGGCATTATGTGGCAGTTGATGCGCATGACTTTGAGGCCCTTGGTGACCTCCAGGTCCACCTGCGTCCAGTTGTTGCGCTGGTCAGGCATCGTGCAGATGTGACCCACCTTAGGCTGCCCGCAGCGCCCACACTTGTATAGCTTCCGGTTCGCGTCGTCCGAGCCCAACTTTTTGCTGCAGGATGAAGAGGCAGAGGAACTCACGCTGCGACGCGGTGGTGATCGGTGCGGGTTGAGGTCGTCGATGCTTGGTTCCTCCGGAACAGAGAGAAAGCCCAGGTTCATCTGGGACATATCCATTGACAGTCCTGAAGACCGATTGGCACCACGTCTACGAGCTGCTGCGCGCGGCGGTAGGTTGCTGCCGAGAGATGACCGACGTGCATGCAGTGAGTGCACGGCGCCGCTGGCAACTTGAGGAGGTACCTGGAATTGAAACTGCTGCATGTTGGGCTGTGGCGGCGCAGGGAAGTTCGTGGGGTCCTGGAAACTGGCGAACGGATTCGGGTATCCTTGATTCGGGTTCATGTTCTGTTGCTGCTGTTGCTGTTGTTGTACTTGCATGGGAACTTGCTGCTGCTCCTTGTTCTGCTGCGCTAACACACGAAACTGGTCCAAGTTGTATAGCAAGTCGACAGGATTCGAGTGATGCCTTGAGTGGTGATTCACTGGGCGTTTACGCTTCATCTTGAGCTCGTTCACTCCTTCCTGAATGCGTTGGGTGTGGTAGGCCACAGGCGACGCCCCATTACTGGGGACACCACTACCATCCGTCGCCGCGTTCACCACTGGCATCTGCTGTTGCTGCTGCTGCTGCTGCTGTTCGGGGTTGAGCTCCGACCACGACAGTTCCTTCAGGAACTCATCCATCTCTTGGAATGACTCTCCCTGCGGTGTCGCCGTGCCTCTAAACTGTATAGGATTGACAGGAGGCTCCACCTGGACCGGATTAATAGGCATCATGTTGTGTTGCTGAGGGAATCCCATGCCGTTGGCCCCCATGACGGGAGGCGTAATGACGCTGGGCGCCATGTTGGCCATGCCGAAGCCCTGTAGCACGTCTGGGTTGGACCGCACTCGCTTGTGCTTGTGCTGCGGCGCCACGCGGTAGTTTTGCCCCACGGCCGTCGATCCGTTCGGGTTAAAAGAGAAGCTGAGCGGCGTAAGCAGGTCCTCGCCCTCGGACTTGGGCGCCATCATGTTGGTAGGCGATGAGCCGGGCACGTCGCTATCCAGCAGCATTTGGTCGTCCGGCGGCACAAAGCCAACGGCAGGGGGTGCTCCAGTGGGGGCGCTGTTGCTGCCTCCAGCGTTCATGGAGCCGTCCGTAGACGCGTCACCGCCACCCTCGAGGAAGTTGTAGTCGAGCGGCAAGCCGTCGAACAGGTCCAGCGTCTGCGCGTCTGCCATGGAGAGCGGTAGGGAGAATGCAATAGGGAGGACGAGGGCTTCTCTTCTTGGCGGTGTGCTTGATATGACGAGGGTCTTGCACAAATTGATTCTGTCCGGTTAGTTGATGGCTACACGAACTATATCTCAATATTTATAAAGATTTCTCCCACATAAAAGCATTGTCCGGATACGTGGCTATTTCAATCTCGTCTGTGTGCGACATGTGATTTCGTATTGGCCAAAATAAAGAAACCCTATCCCTGATCTTCCAGCTGGGGGTGTGAAATATGGCTACATTTTCAACTGGCGCAATGTGAGCTGACACTTATGCAGCCATAAAACCACATTGACCATCGGTCTGATGATGGTCTCAAACATGGTAACCCCGCAAACGACACTTCCTTTATATTTCCTTTATACATACCTACGCGGAGATTTAGTAGTAGTAGCATCTCCCTCGCTACTCCTGTACTACAGTGCATGCGTGTGCGGAAACGCCATGTTCGGAGTGCCGCCGAAGTTCGAGGCACCCATTTCGTACGTCACGGCTTCCGCCGGCTGCTGCTCCACCGTCTGGTAAAAACTTGAATCCAATGTGCCAGCTCGTGCAGGATCTTGCAACAACGCCTGCAAATGCACGCGATCGGCCGTCAGCAACCATTTTCAAGCTCAAAGTGTCCTCGTAAGGACGAGCCTGCCCTGCTCGCTTCATCCGCCAGCAGTAGACGCCAACGCGGCGTGCGGCCTTCTTAGAAAAGAAATTCACTCACCTGCAGGCTCAACGGGCTCAGTTGCGCCGCATCCTGTCGTGGGTACGGGTCCCACATGCCCTGACCGTTGGCGCCAGGCTGCTGAGACTGCTGAGCTTGTTGTTGCTGGTTATCAGCTATCCGAGGCATCCCGTCTTGGTCGATCTCACTGTTTGCGGAGGGTGCTGAAGGCTGGAGCCAAGTCTCACCGCCATTCTGTTGCTGCTGGTGGTCGGTCTGGTGTGCAGGAGATGCACCTTGGTTAGAGACGCCAGTGGACGTCTGTCGTTCGTAATACCGTGGGTCATAGCCATTGTTGGCGACGTAATCCTGGCCCTCATATTGTTGCGGAGCGACATAAGCCTGCTGGGCATACACAGCAGCAGCGTACAAATTCGGATCACCAGCAGGCGAGTGGCCCATGAGCATAGCACGGTTTTGCTGGTATGGTTCTGCCTTGGGATCTTCTGTAAGCATGGCAACATGGCTAATGTGCTGGCCCTGTTGCATCTGCTGCTGCATTATCTTTTCGTGAAGACGCATCTGCTGCATCTGTTGCTGCTGGTCGAGCTGCTGCACCGCTTCGGCATTGTGCGCCTGGAGGTGCTGTTGTTGTTGTAAAAGTTGCATCTGACGCTGCCGCATCAGTGCCGAGTTGTTGTAACCCATTGCCGCCTGCTGTGCCGCAGCAGCCTGAGCTTGCTGCTGATTCTTCTTGTGCTGGGCGTGGGATGCTGCAGCTTTGCTCGGGTTCTGCTTCAGCGACTTCCAGCGAATCTTCACAGAGTCCTCTGTGCGTCCCTTCAGAAGCTGTGCAATCTGCGACCACTTGTTGCCGAGCCGTGCCTGTGCAGTCAGGATCACGGAATCTTCCTCTTCGGTGTAGGGGCCCTTATTAATGGCCGGATCCAAATGATTCTTCCATCGTTCTCGGCACTGCTTGGGCGTACGTCCAGGAATACGCTCAGCAATCTGCCCCCAGTTGTTACAGCCCTGGGTGACCAGATACTCCAGCACTTGATCCTCTTCAAATGACCAATGACCCTTCACTAAGCCAGGCTTCAGAACCTTGCGCCAACGCTGCAAACACTGGGCGTGGTTACGACCAGGTACCAGTTCAGCAATAGCTTTCCAGTTCTTTTCACCATGGATACGCACACTTTCACGCAGTGCCGCATCCTGGCTCTTAGTCCAGCGCTTGGTGGTTGGAGCTTCGGGGTCTTCCACGGGCTCAGTGTTTCCGTTGGAGTTCTCAGCGTTCTCGCTGTTGACAGTAACAGGCGTGTCTACGTCGGGACGTGCGCGCTGTGTGGGCTTCTGTTCGCCTTCAACAAGCGCTCGGCTGCTTTGAGGCCGGTCGCGCTTGGACATCGAAATGTCGTCGTTCTGTGTAGAAGTCGATGCGCTCTTATCGCCCGGGATGAACCCCTTCTTATTAATTTCCAATTCGCGCAGATTCATCTCCGAGTCGCCAATGTGCGAGTTGCTGAGTAGACGTCCTACTTGTGAGATATCTTCCTTGGAGATCACTACAGACGACGAAGACAGCGAGCGGCCAACGACGACACCATCCGCGTTAGGCATACCGGCTAAGAGCTGTGCCGTCAGTTTTTGGCCATCATTTTCCTTGCTGTAATGAAAAAAAAGAGAGGGTTACGAATTAGCATTGAAGCCGACTAATGCTGCATTGTGCGAGTTAAACGTACCCATCGGGGCCAACCACCGCATTAAACGAATGGAATTTATTGGCGCCACCATTCAGCATTTTGACGCGGCTGGCAGCTGCAGCAGATACACCATAAAACCAATCCATTGTCACAAAGAATATAAAACATGGAAAGAACAGCGAACGCACCGTTAAGTGCCTGCTTGCGCTTGAGATGGGATTCCATGTTCTGCTCCTCCTGCACCTGCACTTCGGCCAGCTTGGCCTGCTGCACGAGAAACTTCTTACGCAGGTTTAGGATGAATTTCTTTTTGCCCTCGACGGTGGACTCGGCCATGGCCTTAATCACGCGAAACTGCTTCTCATCGCGCAGGCGATCGACATAGCGACAGAGCTCAGCGCTCTCGCTCGGAGAGAGTCCACTGAGTGCCATGAGAAAGAGCCGCGACGCCTCAGCGGGCAGTGACTGCAGTAGCTGCGCCAGTAGATCACCGAAATTGTCGGCGCTGGCCGAGTCCGTGGGCGGCGCTGGTTCCGGCTGGTTGTCAGTTGCCGTATCCGCCATCGTATTACTTAGACCGGATGGATGTGTGCGTGAAGAGAGGAAGCGCTATGTGGAGCCGCGGAGCCTTAGGCAGAGCGCGTGCTTGCGTCGGCGAATATTGCCTTTTGCCAGCGGTCGTTCTCCCCCTTTTCACTACTACGGCCTCCCCTTTCCCCTCAGTAGAAAGCCGCTGACGTACGATATACCTTGCATAATAGGTACAATCAATTTTGCCAGAATCATCCTTTATCTATTGAAGTACCCTTTCAGAAACGTATGACCTGTCACTCTCGCTTCGCATATCGACTGTGTCGCCACCAAAGTGTCGTGGTGGGAGACCTGCGGCGGCGGCGGCGGTACACTTTTGTGGGCATTGCTCGCTATCAGACTAAGAAGGCGGAGAAGAGTCCAGTGATGCCGCTGGACGCTAACTGCGCCGCGTGTGGTTCAAGGACAACGGCGCTCGCCGTTTTGCCCGACGCCCCAAGATTTCCACCAAGTGACTCTTTGGCCCATCCCCCTCGCTTCCTTTGCATCGCCTACGCCTCATCGCTGTGAAATGATGTTTGACGTGTTCAGAGTATTGAACCGATAATGCTGCTCTCGCAATTCGATTGAACTGTTGCGGGCCTGCAGTATTGCCTGTTAGCTCGAGCGTTCTCGGGACTGTCTCGGTATTGACATGATCGACGTCTTCAATTGCGAACGGAGGCGAGACTGTGTGGCAACCGCCAACAACTTGCAACGCTCTCTTCTCATTTTCCCTCCCTCGAAAGGCAGAAAAGTACGGGGAATAAGCTTTTGACCGCGATTTATCGCTCGATATATCGCTGATTTTTTCAGCACTGCTGACCAATTTGATAGCGATCGGCGTCGCCTCGCGAGTAGGTATCAAGATGCACGCAATTATGTCTCAGTACCAACCCGATTCAAGTTGCATTGCAACTGATGATAACAAGCGTGTTTGATCTAGAACAGAACAGCTTTGGACCAGTACCTTCATCTTAACAATTCATAGATCTATCTACTGACACCGTGCGTGGCCCAAACCGGACCCAAACAGGAAATTTTACGTCTGCAAACGGAAGTGCCACAGGAAATTTTACGTCTGCAAACGGACGTGCCTAACACGTTGCCTACCACATGCAAATGGCTTCAGTGCATGCATTGCTCTAGACGCATCGGCCGTGTTGCAAAAGCAGTTCGAGATTTCCTATAACCTGGTCTTACAATATAAAGCTCCAAGTTAACTCACTCTCACACAATGCAATAGTTAAGCAAGGGAACGGGAGACAGAGCTTGTTCATAGATCACAACTGTGTTTTTTAAGAGCCGGCAAGCTTTAGCAGTTGGTACTGGATCTCCGAGTATTTGGATACCCGGCTTTGCCAAGTCGTGGCGGATATTCAGCAGATACTTCGAAGTAGTCGGCACTGCAGAATATCCATGACTTGGCTTTGAGGACAACAATTTTTTTTGTGTGATGAACTAAGGTTTTAATACATGAAGTGTATTGAACATGTTTGCAAAGAAAAAATAATCGAAGCGAGTTGCCGCATCCAACCAAGGCTTGGTCCAAGCTCTGATTTGATTTCTGACCAATCCGATTTCAGCTTCACTAACAGGAGTGAATGTTCTACAATATACGATGCTATAAAATATAAAATAGAACCTCGTTAGGCAGCAGAAAGGTTTGCTAAATCGATTGTACGCTTTAGGAAAGGTAACCATTTGTGACAGGTTAAATGGATTGGCTTGTCGCATCCAGCCTGGTGGGACCAAAACTCAGAATCTTCCGTGCCCAGAAATCATTTTGGAGATTGCTGAAGAAACCGCAGATCAACAATTCGGATGAGACTCACGACGTGCGTGGCAGCGATGGCGCTGGCTATCGAGGGCTCCCACGCGTGGACGATCGATGTGTCGGAAGTGGCGCCGCCCGTGGATATCGTGGGAGAACATCAGCCGTTGCAGCGCTCTTGGACCGTCTCCAGTTTGGCACAGCTGGAGCAACTGTACTTGGCCGTACCTGGCCGCGTCTTCGTGGAGCTGGATCAGTCCCTGCTTCCGGTGACGGAGTCCCCGGCGACGGAGACTCCAGCGACAGAATCAACGGAAGCACCCGTTACTGAAACCCCGGGGGTTGTCCCGGGCGTCACCCCTGGTGTTGTTCCTGGTGTGGTCCCAGGTGTCGTGCCCGGAGTTGTTCCCGGTGCGGTACCCGCGGGCTCGACTGCCGGCTCAGGCTCTGACTGGAACGACAGCAGCCTGGTGGGCGAGACGATCGAGATCCCGACCATGATGCTGCGCAAACACCGCCACCGTCATGAGGACGATGACAAGGAGGAGGGCGAGGAGATTGTCGTGGCCAAGATCGTGGTCACAGGCAACTCGACGGACCTGTTGAACATGATTGAAGCTACGCCCCTACACCCGCGTCGCAACGATGGACTCAAACTTCACTTGAAGAACGAGGACGCTTACGGCGAGGGATACGTGCTGACCCAAATTTATCTTTTTAAAAAGAATCTGCTGCGCCGTGTAACTACGACCTTGTCGGGCGACGTCGTGCTGAACGATGATGTGGTCACACTCGACGACGCTGAAGCGGACGTCAAGTTCGCGTGCGTGGGCGACGGCAACTTGTACCTAAAGTCTGACTCAAACGCCACGCTGGGCTCGTTGGAGGTGGAAGTGACGGGCAGCGGGCTGGCACAATTTCAGATTCCCTCTGTGAACCTCGAGGGCAACTTGAACGTGGAAGTCGCCGGCAGTGGCGCAGTGGCACTCGTCACTGACTCTCTCGCAGTTGGCGCCGTGAAAACCACACTTTCTGGCTCGGGTGATATTGTCGTGGACACGAGTGACCTGTCCGCGCAGAAACTCGAGGCTTCAGTGTACGGGTCGGGTGTTGCCAGCTTCGCCACGGCGGGTTCTGTGGATAAGGAGACGCTAACATTGTCGGGCCCTGGCCAGCTGCTTGCCGGCTCGATTGTAGCGCGCAAGTCTAATGTGGACGTGTGGGGCGACGGCGAGCTACTTGTTCAGGTGACTGACAAGCTGACGGTGTCCACTTCGGTGTGGGGCAAGGTAGGCTACGTGAACGAACCACCCACAGACGTCAAGATCAAGGGCTGGTGGTTCTGGCGAGAGGCTAGCTCCATCGTATACCCCGCTGTGGTGAACAAGGTTGTGATATACGAGCCAGTGACCGTGCCAGCCAAGTACCCGATCTACTACTCCATCGAGTCAGCCGAGTCGGCGCTGTCGGACGACCCGGACTACGCGTTCGTTGCGACTGAGCCGGCCAGCGTGGCAAACCTAATGACCACCTCGCTGTCGAGCGTACAGCAGGCGGCCTCAGCGTCGACCGAGTCGCACGGGCTATTCTATGCGTTCGTTGGTGCGAGCGTCTTAGTTGTGAATGTGGTGGCTGCACGTTCGTGGGCGCAGCGCCATGCGCGTCGCCACTACACGCGCCTCCTTTAGTCTTGAGAGAAGGATGCGATAGTTTTGATAAGCTACATGTAGACCTTGGGCAGCGATGGAGTTGCCCTTGATAACTAAAAATGTCGCTTGATGAGGATCTAACCTTTGATGTCTACCACATCATTCAAATCGGTGGCATTGTTTTATGTGGTCTGTGGGATGAAATGTACATTGACCACCGAATTTGAAATCAGACGCATGGGTAAATCTGAGAAATCTCGACCCACGCAGTTGCGGGCACAAGAGGAAACGGAAAGGGGAAGATCACTATTCGATATTCGCATTAAAAAGCACAAGTCAAGATGGCCCTCACCGACGTGATCCTCGCCCCGTACGCCGCCGCCAAGGACGTCGCACAGAGTATGAACCCCGTGATGCTTGCCGCGCTTGTCGCCGTCGTCGTGGTCGTCAACGTCGTCGCGGCGAAGTCTTGGCAAGCACGCCGCAGCCGTCTCGAGTACAGCCCCTTGCTGTAGACGCCTAAAATTCCAACGTTGACGCTCAAGACAAGTGGCCCGCGCCCAGAGACAGAAGACCGGGAGCAGCAGCGCTACCTACGCAGCGGTGTAGTCTTAAAAAGCACTCGTACTGTACTAAGTATCCGTGTATGATCAATATCCTGCAACTTCCGTCTCTCTATGTAGCTAACTAAGGCGCGTGAATAGCTATAATCAACAGTTGGGACGTTTCATTGTGTTTGACTGGTGACTTCTTCAGCCTGTTGCCGTGCAGAACAATCATGCTTCGCTTTTCGGTTGCTTACTCCTGCAACTGAGACGGTCCTACAGAGTAATGCCATCGACGGCGGACGTAGCTCCTTGGGAATATGCAATCATTACTTTTCGTTTCTCAAGTCGAGGTTTGGACTGAAACGCACAATGAAAGACCCCTGCTGCCTCCCCCCCTGCTGCACTGATCGTCGGAAGCGCCCGCACCAGCAACAATGGCGACGGCCTGGCCTTTTGGCTGATCTCAAGGTTTGACAGCGTCGCTAATTTCACCGCAAAGTTGGCCCTTGCCTCGGAGCTGATTGTGCTGCCTCTGCCTATCGGACCCGTCACCGACCCCGTGATCGCCGCTACAATTAAGTCGCCGCAGGAGTATTCAGACCCAGCAGTCCAGGCCTGGAGCCAGGCTGTGATTACCACGCCCGCCTTCGTGATCCTCACACCACAGTACAATTGGGGATACCCCGGCCAGCTCAAGAACCTCCTTGACCACTTATACAGCGAGTGGAAGAATAAACCAGTCGTGCTGGTGACGTACGGTGGACACGGCGGCAGCAAGTGCGCCGAGCAACTTCGAGTGGTTTTGAGCGGCGGCTTCCACATAAACGTGGTAGCGCACGTCGGCATCAGCCTTCCAAAGGAGTTTATCCGAAGCTCCGATCGCGTCGATGCGGCAGACGTCCCATCTTTTCTGGCCAAGTATGAGACGCAGGTGGACGAGGCCTTCGCAACTCTTCTCAAATGTTTGCAGCATTAAGTCACTTTGAGCGACGTCTCATCAATCGCTGGTCGTAGCGATAATGCCCTGGAGTTGATTTTCCGCTTTACGTAGCTTTCTACAAGAAAAAAAGAGAGCCATAATGAATTTTCATTTAGCACAACACTGTTGTAGAGTCTTCAGTAAAATAGTCGTGTTTTCCACTGAGTCCATGCTTTCGAAACATGGACCTGGCTAAGATAAAGATAGCAGGCCATCTTTATCTTCAAACGACCATTTCAAGAGTATACTATTACTAGATGCTTAATACTTAAAATAGGAAGTCGTTTGGAGCTGGGAGCAAAAGAGGAAGTGCT